GGCGGGGCCGGGCCTGCCCTCTCGGCCCCCTGCCCCGCGCTCCAACTCGGGACGGGAACCCGCGACAGGCTGGACACGCCGGGGCCGCTGCGTTTCCAGCGATCGCCAGGCTAACCTAACGCTGTACTGTCTCAGCTCTTCCCGTAAATTGTTCGGCGCACATTTTCTTCAGTGGCAGAAATAAAATTTTCCTGTCTTTGATGAAAATGCTGCATTGTTTAAAACTCACACTTATTTTCTTGGGCAGGAGGACCAACAGCTCCATGTAGAAACAATTCCCTTTCCCCTGGTGAATGGCTGGTCTGAGCTGTTTATGACAGGTGGTTTGGAGTGTTTAGTTGTTGCCTTGTTTTGGAGGTCTATCTTGAGATTTGCATATTTAATATTGTCATTTAATAGCATATTTTAATGTTTTGGTTCACTTACCTTCTTCTAACGTAATGCATTTCTAAGTTCTGAAGGCCTTCTCAGACTGTGGGTGTTCTCAGTCTTTGTACTAGCAGACTGTGGTGCTCCTGGGCAACACCTTCCTGAAACAGTGCATTTAAAGCCTCTGGGAGCAGCTATGCAACCATTAATCCAGGGACATTATTTGTTTAAAATTTAGGGGGGGGAAAACTTTAAAGAGCAAAATATATTAAGTGTACTTAGCAAGAATGTGTGAAAGTGCACATTCAGGAAGGACTGAACCCCAGAAAACGGCTTACCTGTTGAGGGTTGTAGGTAATGGTCAGGAGAGCCCCAGCCGTGAGCCTCTAAACATGGGACGCTTGCTGCCTGCTGGCCTGTCCCTCTCCTGCTTCGGGCTTCAAATATGTTGCTCTCTGTTGTCATTGGGATGAGTTGTTTATTATTTCCCTTTATTTCTCAGCCTCCTCCTAGTCAGAGCCAAGGAAAGGACATTAAAAAGAAGAAAGAAAGCGGGCCTGACAGTGAGGTAAGTCATTGCTGTGGAAATAATATAAAATACTACCTATAATTTAAATATGCTTATGTAGTTAATTGCTCAGGGTTTTTAATTAAAACAGTTGCTGTAAATTACGGCTTGGGCTACAGGAGTGTGTTTAAAATTTTGTTAGCCTTAGATACAAGATGTCTTAACTTAGAGGTGAGCCAGCCCCACAGCTGTAAAGGGCTCCTTAGTCTATTTAAGTTGAGAAAGCAGAGCTCTTCTTTTGTGTTAAGGAAACCGGCTTCTTTGCTTTTTAAATATAAATCATTAAAACAGCCAGAATTGATCAGGCACATCAACATTTGGTAGGAGCAGAGGAGGATTATGCTTGGCCTCAGGGATCCATCGGGTTGAGGAGTTCAGACGAACGGGAGAAACAACTAGAGAACAAAGTCAGATGGTGTATCAATAAGGGCTGAGTTGTGTGGCTCTGTGCACGAGCATGTTAAACCTGTGGAGAAGGGCAATGCCAGTGGGTGTGGTAGTTGGAAGAGGAGGGCTTTGCGCACGACCCTGAGAGCTAGGAGGGAGTTAGACCCTGGGAGGGGAGTCTCCAGGGGGTGAGAGTGAAAGCAGAGCCTTAGGGGCTTGTGGGGGCTGTGACCTGAGCCTGCTGAGAAGGGGTGGGGCTTATTTAGAGCTGAGCAGTTAGAAAAAAGTGGACTGTGTCTGTTAACCCTCCTGTATTCTAATGGTTTTCAGGTGAAGAATCCACCAAATTTTGTGAAGGAAAGATTGAAGCTTTTTGAAATACTGAAGAAAGATCATCAGCTCTTACTTGCCATTTATGAAAAAAAGGGGAATACAAGCAATGTGATCACAGTAAGAGTGGCTGATGGGAAAACAGTGGAAGGGGAAGCTTGGAAAACAACACCTTACCAAGTGGCTGCTGAAATCAGGTAAACCGTAGTGTGGAGCAGATAATCAGTACTAAGTGTTGGGCCAGAGCTTGGTGAAAATGTGTTCTTAGGGACTGCTAAAATATTCTTTTCTTACTCAGTTGAATAAATTAAATGTAATTAGGTAATTATTTACCTCTTGGCTTCTAAAGGGGCCATTTAATAAGTAATTGAATATCAGAACACAATCTCCTCTTTCAAGGGTCCAACTTTTAGAGTTCTAATAAAAATATATAGTAGAGAAAAATGTATAATCCTTGACAGGCGACATTACATTGACCCAGTTCATCATCAAGTTATTTCCATGAGATTTTACAGGTCTCTTGTTGGGCTTGACTCCAAGCCATTGTTCCACCAATAAATAACTGTGGGTGGGTCTTTGGACCAATGTGGGCAGATCCCTCAAGCTTTCCAAGCCTGTTTTCTTACACCTTAAGTGGAAATAATAATACTTTTATTGTTTACGTTATGAGATTGTAAAGATTAAATAAAATACTACATATGAGAGATACTCTGAAAATGAAAGCAACTCTAGAAATGTACAAAAAGGCCTATTAATTATAGATAGAAGATGTATGTGTTAGAGCTATGATCAGCCCTGGAAGCTTTGACCTTCCTAGAAATTAGATACTTCAGTGAAGTTGTGTTGTTTTGACTAATGCTAATTCCTGGCATTAAATAAAATTCTGTGGAAGCTATAGCTCAAAACTGCCATGTAAGTAAACTTATTATTTAAAAAGCAAACTTTTCAATTAAAATCTTCAGATTTCCTTTGAAAAATATGGTTAAGATCGTATTTTTCATCCTATTATATCATACACCCTAAAGGCCCCTCCCAACCTGTTCCTATGCTTTCCAGGAGAGAGGAATAGATGTGCTGGGAATGGGCTTTGAGGCAAAAATAAGTTTATGTTTCCTCGTGGAGAGTCATTTGCATGTTGGTGGATTGAAGTCTGAGTCGTCCTGCACTGAAGAGACTGTCCAAGCTTGGGAAACAAGGTCATTTCATTATAGGACGTGTTCTCATTGTACAGTCAGTGACTTGCATTCCCACAGGTACCAGTTTAAAACCACCCCCGAGTTTAATGAAAGAGGGGTTGCAGGAGTGTCTAAAAAGTAAAATTGTCCAAAACTAAAGCATGGGCAAAGCTATATCAGGCAAACCTGGTAAGAAGAAAGCAGTGGTCTTAATGTTACCATCAGACAGCAGAATTTAGGGCTGTCTAAATCATTAGACAGAATCATTGAATGGGAGACTGAGGCTTATTTTTAAAGTAGAAGAACAGTGTAATTCCCAATTTGTCACGCACCTTAATGAGTTATATAACGTAGCATCAAACCAGAAATACAAGATTATAGGAACTCAAGAGTGGCAGACTTTAACATGCCTTTCTCAGTTTTTGATCAAATAGCCCAAAATTAAGATTATATGGTCTGAATAATGACACTCTAAGGTAGGCTTCGTGGCTAGTCCCTGATCTCTGTGCTGTGGCCCAGATGGTTCCTTCTCTCTTGGCACCTGTGGTCGTGCTTTCGGTTCCTCAGAATCTTAATAAAATACAGAAACACACAGTTAGCATTCTGTGAGCAAAGTGAAATCCGTTGTGAACTCAGTAAGCATTAAATGACAACAAGACACAACAAAACTAGGAAATTAAAAAAACTTCAAAATACTCAGGAGAAAAGAAATAAAAACAAGTATTTTCGGAAATAAAAAGAGTAAAAAAGGAGTATTCTTAGAAAATACTTCTAATGAAGAGAATATATTTCAAAATCTATGTAATACATCTGAAGTGGTGATCAGGAACAGATTTATAGTGTTGAAGGCTTTTATTGAATTAAAAAAATGAAATGACTAAGAATTCAACTCAGGCAGTTAGAAAAAGAACAATTAAACTAGGAGGAAATTAAAAAAGTGAATTAGAGAAGAGTATTAACTGAAAAACTATTAAAATAAGGATGCAGCAAAGTGTATGGTTATAAAAATAAAGTTAAAAATAATAGTTTTATTAAATTATACTGACTGTTGCCTTGGTTTACTGAGACTTGATTGCATGGATGATTTTCCCTGCTCTGAGGGAGTGTCGGCCTTCCTAAGTGTAACATGTAAGGTACAAATCATTAAGGAAAAGACAGACAGAGTCAAAAACACTTAGGAAAAATGGCTATGCGTAAAAATGACGCATAAAAAGGAGGAAAAGATAATCTTAGAAATGCAGATTAAAGTAATTGTGTATTATCTATTGGTCTGTCAAAGATTTATGAATAATGGTTAATGTTGATATGATTTTGGGGAAATGGCACTGCTGGAGGGTGGATGCAGAGGCGCAGTCTCTTTCTTAAATGTGCAAACCCCAACCCTTGGATCCAGTCATTCTATACATAGCCATTTATCCCAAGGAAATACCCCAGCAGAAAAAATGAGCAAAGGACAGTTCACAGTAGTTCACTGAAGAGTAGTTCTTGGAATGTGGTCCCCAAACCAGCAGCATTAGCATCACCTGGGAACTTGATGGACGAGCAGATTCTCGGGCCCCATCCCACACTTGCTGAATCAGTTAGTCATCTGTGTTTCCAGGAGCCCCCCAGGGGCTTCTGACTAAACTGCTGCAGGAAAGAGCCCCTAGAGATCATGGCTTAAATAAGGCAGAGGCCACATTCTCCCCTGACAGACTCGTGGTGGCCAGGCTGGTGGGCGTCTCTGGTCTAGGCAGTCCTTCATGGACCCAAAATCCCCGTATCTTGTCGCTCCGCCGTCCCCTTAGGTAGGGTTTGTCCACTTCTAGGAGTGGAGGCTGGGTCACACCCATGGACCTGCTTGCAGGCAGGGGAAGAGTGGCTGGAGAGCAAGGGTGCTTTGAGGCCAAGACCCTGGAGCAGCACGTTTTAATTCCCACCTACAGCCTGTTAGCTCACACTTAGTCACACAGCCACGCCACCTGTAAGAGAATGGAAACGTAGCTCCTGCTGGCTGGCCACGTGTCCAGGCCAGGCACTCTCACCACAGGAGAGAGGAAGGATGGTCTTGGGGACAGCGTCCGCCGCGGCATGCCGCTGGGACCTCCAGACACCTGTGAGCATCCACCGTGCATCATCTCTCACTCTCCCAGCGAGATGACTCCAGGCCCTGGCAGCAGAAAGCCCAGGATTTTTAGGTGAAGCACATGACACCCCCATCGGCTGGCTGCTCGTGCTCTAGCAGCAAGTAAACTGATAGACGAGGCTGCCCACGCCACGTATATATGGTGGTGGGATAAACACAATCACGATTAAAGTGTCATTTGGAAAAAAGAGGAGTGATGCGGCAGACAGTGGTGCTCAGGAGCCCCCAGATCTTGTCTGCAGCCTGGCCGTGGGTGGGGCTCGGGTCAAACCATCTGGCCACCCTTTGTCCTCTGGGAGCAGCTCTCTTGTCCACCACCCTCTGTCGGCCCTGATTTTGCAATTTGGAGGGCTTGTCGTTGTCCCTTGCCCTCACTCGCCACATCTGAAGTGCGGGCAGTTGTTCATCGTGGAGGCCGCGAGGTTTGCTGGTGCGGCTCCGGCTGGTGCACACATGGGGCTCAGGGCTCCTGAGGATCAGTCACAGGTACTTGTAAGCTGGGCTTGTAGTTTGTTTGGTAAAACAATTCCCTCAAGCAATTAACCCTAGTAGGCTTCTAACTAGAAGCTTCTAGTCAGTTTCCCATGAAAGTAACCATACTGAAGATTTCAGTTAAATGGGCCAAGATCAGACAAAACCGGAGGTTGCAGGCTCTGATCCTTGTAGCTGGACCAGCCTGTGTTGTCTGACTCTGTGTGGCCTTTGAGAAGGGCTGTCAGTGCCTCTTCCTCCTGCTCTTTGGGACAGAAGATTGTTTTTGCATCTTGCACAGCCTCACACTTCTGAACTCCCAGTCAGTTCAGCTTACAGGCCGCGTGCGGAGAGCCTCCCTCGCAAGGGGACAAATACCGTCTGAGCTTATCTTGGCCTGGTAGTATTTTGTTAAAAGCCATGAGAGTTACCCAGTGTATCCCAGCATTTGCCTTTGTATAACCGTTTACTCGTGCTACAGGCATCGTAAGCACGTTATTTGCCTGCAAGTCTTAGGAGACACTTTGTTATGCTGTAACAGGGTTATTGGCTTTCCACGTCTGAGTACCTCTTTCTGTGTAACCCACCGCCCATCCGCTAAGCCAATGCTGGATGATTTTTGTTACTCGCCGGCCCTTATTTCTGCGTTAGTTAAGACACAGGCTAAGCTGCTGCAACAGGCCACAGAAAACTTAGTGCCTTAAATACGACTAGAGCCTCTCTGACAGCAGTCTGGGGGTGTGGGGTCCAGGTTGGCAGGCAGCGCTTCTCCATACGTTTATTTGGGGACCTAAATTCCTTCCATCTGGCTGTTGGGTGGTCTGGTACAGTGTTCCTTTGTCCGTATGGTCCAAAGGTCGTAGCATGTGTGCTCCATCTACAGAAGGCCGGATGGACAGGTGCCCTGCATGGTGTTAAGGCTGAGATATGGCAGTGCTGGACACTGCTTCTGCCTCCACCTAAGCCACGTGGCTGCCTCCTGCTGCAAGGACGGCCAGGCACTGATTGTAGAGGACAGAGAGAATGGGCTTGAGGAGCCCTTAGCAGCCTGGCATGGCCAGCGAAGGTGAAGATAAAATTCTACTCCACTGATAACAATACTGAATGTGTATTAAGTTCTTATTATGAGTACACCTTATTTAATCCTTAGGATAAATATATGAGGAAGATCCTGTAATTCCTATCTTGCTGACGAGGAAACCGAGGCTTAGAAAAGTTGAGTAAATTGTCCAGTGTTTAACCCCAGTTTGGCCTGACCCTAGAGTGTGTGCTGTTAACCACAGTGCTGTGCCCCTGCTCAAGTTACTCACAGAAATGCAAATGAAAATGTTACATTGTCAAGATGGCACAATTTTGTACTCCTGAAGGTGAGAGCACATAGAAAGGTATTTTGGGACCCTCTCCTGATAGGAAAATTTGGTAATATAGTCCAATTAAAGTCATTAAAAGTGCTTATCCCTTGACTCAGTAGTTTTACTTCTAGAATTTTTCCTGAGAAAATAATCAGGAACTGAGATGTATGTTCAAGAATGTCCATTGCAGCTTTATTTGTCATTGTCAAAATAAAACAAGAAAAACCAAAACCCGCAAAGAAATAACCCAAATCCCAGCAACAGTGGGTTCATTAAGCAAATCTTAGTGCTACTGCTGCTGTCAAATAGCATGTTTTACAAGTCTGTTTGCTGTTGGGGAAAATGTCATGGTTTATTGTTAAGTTTAAAAAGTAGGTTATCATATAACATAAAGAGTAATACTATTAAAATTTTTACATTGGTGTATGTATTTATCCAAAAAAGTGGAAGGACGGACAGCAAATGTTAACAGTAATTTCTGGGTGACTGGATTGAGGGTGAATTTTTTTTTTGCCCACGCACGTGGGATCTTAGTTCCCCAACCAGGAATCAAACCTGTACCCCCCTGCGTTGGAAGCACGAAGTCATAACCACTAGACCGTCAGGGAAGTCCAGAGGGTGATTTTTTTTCTTTGTGCTTTTCTGTGCTTTCTAGGTCTCTTCTCTTAACATGTTATTTTTGTCAGTAATTTTCAAACAATAAATGTTAATGAAAAGACACACACACACATACACACACACAAAGGAAAAGGACCAACACCTCAGTAGAAAATAGGCAAAGGACATGGACAGTTCATAAAAGTAAACTGTCCAGTAAACATTTATAATCCAATAAATCAAAACCATTTCCAACATCACATTGGCAGAGTTTGAAAAAATCAGGGTGCATGGAAGTGGTATATTCAGACAATATTTATCAGCAGTCCTTCAGAGGCACATGCTCTTTGACCTAACAATTTTAATTCCAAAGGCCTATTCCCAGAAAAGTCACCAAAGAACAAAGCCGCCTGTGCACAGATGTCTGTGCAGTGTATGCTCTGATAGCACACAACGACCTGGTGTGCAGGAGGAGGCTTCCTTAATCAGTGTGGTCCTTCCAGAATGTTCTGGGAGTCTGTCTGATGGCATGGTTGTGAAGAAAATTATGTAGGCAATTATGTTTTTTTATGATGGGGGTGTGTGCCTGTGTGTGTGTGTGTGTGTGGTGTGAAGGAGGGGCGGGTATAGATAAAGACTGGAAAAACATGTGCCAGAATGTTATATGAGTGGTGATATCTGGGTGGTGAGATTTATGTGATTTTTATTTTATTCTGTGCACTCTGTTTTCTGAGTTTTTACAGTGAACATATCTTATTACTTTTGTACTTAAAGTAAGTGTTGCAAAATTTAAACAAATCTATCCTATTAGTTTATGTTTGTACTTTCCACTAAAGAAAGAAACCCTGGAAACCATTTTCATCTTCTGTTTTAGCCTGTGGTGCGTTAACGCCCACGTGACTGTTCTCTCACCAGTCAGGAGCTGGCGGAAAGCACAGTGATAGCCAAAGTGAATGGGGAGCTGTGGGACCTGGACCGTCCGCTGGAACGGGACTCCACCCTAGAGCTGCTCATGTTTGAGGACAAGGAAGCCCAAGCTGTAAGTGTTTAAAGACCAACCCACCATACTTTGGCTATTTATGTTGTCAGTTACATTATGTAATTATGAAGCCACATACCGAAGTCAAGACTAATGGGTTTTGTGGCCTTCTAAGGTTTAAAATGCTTATGTTGGTGTTTAATAAATATAATATTAATAACACCATATTTAAAAGTGATTCAGAAAGAGCAGTTTTTAAATGAAATACATAGCTTATATGTATTATTTCGTTTTTCTCACTTAAGATCTAACCCAAACAACTGTCACCTAACTATATGCCAGCTGTCACCCCAGAACTGGTGAACATGTATTGATTCCCTCAGTCAGCTGACCAGTATCTAAGCTGTTGGGTGCACGTGCCAGACCTTGTGGGGCGGCAGAGGCTCCTGCTACAGAGAGTTCACTGGTGGGAGGGGTAGTGAGCAAGGAAATAAACGACTAGACACTTTCGGGTGGTGTCAGCGTCTGGAGAAGTCAAGTAGGAGCAGCCATGGTAGCTGGCCCGGCAGTTAGTTTTAGCCCTCTCCTGAGGGCGGAATCCTGCCAAGACCTGAGCACTTTCCCACACTAGCTGGCTCTTTGTTGACCTGCAGACACTGTACTTTAACAGATTCTTTAACAGTGGGCTGCTGCAGGCTTTCAGTCTGTCAGGTGTTTGGGTGGGGGGCCGGGAGAGCTACCAAACTTAATGTTCCATGGAGGGGTCGGCCTCTTTGGAGTTCTTTCCCCCTGTGTTTAGTGACATCATGAAAGAGAAAACTTATTTACCATATTATCTTGGGGAATGTTTCTAGAGTGTCTCATCAGCCCGCCCCTCTGCTTACCCTGATATTAACATGGCACCTGGTGTCACATTGCAGGGCTTCCGAAATACTTGTGGTTGTTTATGAAAATGAGAATGTTCCATGCCAGCCACCAGCCCCAGCCCCTTGTGTACATTATCTCCCTGAGTCTGCACTTACCTTTTCACACAGGTACCGTGTTAATAGTACACAGGCTCAGGATGATTCAGTAACTTTTCCAAGCTCTTGATGCTTCTTTTAGTGTAATTTAGTAACAGAGACTTTTTTGTTGTTGTTCTTGGATTTTATTTTCCTGTTACTATGAACATATTAAGATTTTGAGCATAAACCCATTTATGAATATTTAATGCATATCCATGAAAAAGAAATCCTAGAAAAGCAAATCTAGAAAACTCAGATCTACAAGATGATAAAATTAATGATTTTGTAAAGCATTTTTTACTTTACAGAAAAATTCATCTCCTTTGTATAGCAAACTCTTAAACTTCTATTTTAAAAGATGCTTCTATTTACAAGGCTATTTAGTGCATGATGTAACATAGGAAAGTAAATAGTCTCCACCCTCTAGGTAAATTCCTGTTGAAAGTGACAGCAAGAATGTTCTTGTAAAGTTAATAAATACACGCACCAGAAACAAGGAGCATCTTATAAAATGGTAGAGCTTTCAAGTTTAAATATATCTAATAGATATTTCCTTTTGCAAGCATTCTGTCCAGCAGGAGAATGTATATGGGTATTCGTTCTGCTCTAAATCTTTGCTGAAATCCCAGGAGCAGTCAGCAATGTGCTGCTGGGACCTCATGCTCAGGAAGCATAGGTACTTATCTGAGGTGTAAACAAGGTGCTTATGTGAGGTGTAAACAAAACCAGATATATGTAAGAACCCAAGCTGCTAGTTCTGTGATGCCCTATGTTTTAAATGTAAATTCAATCATTTCTTTTCTGCTTAAAACCTTTTAATACATCCCACTGCATTAGACTAAAACTCAAATCCCTCTCCAAGGCCTGCACGGTCGCTGGCCTGTTCTTACCTGTCAGCCTTCCTCAACCTGCTTTGTGGTACATCCCCCCAACCCTAACCACGCTGTGAATATAGGGCCTCCGCCATGATTCTTGATTACAGCACCCTGTTCATCTTTTTTTTTTTTTTTTTTTTTTTTTTTTTTTGCGGTACGCGGGCCTCTCACTGTTGTGCCCTCTCCCGTTGCGGAGCACAGGCTCCGGACGCACAGGCTCAGCGGCCATGGCTCACAGGCCCAGCCGCTCCGTGGCATGTGGGATCTTCCCAGACCAGGGCACGAACCCGTGTCCCCTGCATCGGCAGGCGGACTCTCAACCATTGCGCCACCAGGGAAGCCCTCATCTTCTTTTAAATATGCTTCCCGTCTTGCAGTGATGCACTTAGAGGTTTGTTGCCTGCCCTCTCTCCCACTAGGCTGCAAACCGCATGAGCCCAGTGGCTCGCATTTCTTTCTCTCTTGTGTCTCCAGCACCTAACACAGTGTTTGGCTCAGGCAATTTCCAGGTGTGCACAATGCACCGAAGAAGGTACTTGGGCTGACGCTGGCAGCCAGCCTGCCATCCTGTACCATCCCAAGCAGAGGGTTCTGACCCAAGGACTGACCCTCTAGGCCTGGTGCCGCGGGTCGGGATTGCACAGAGCCTGCTCAGCCAGCTAACTCCCTCTGTTCCGGTTTATTATCTCAGACAGCTTTCTAATTGCAATTTGTTTCTGATTTAATTGAGGAAAGTGCTGCCAGAGGACTCGATTGTCTTGTTTCTTTGGCATCTATATTTATTGATATTTGGTGACTGGTTAGTTTTAATGTATCCATAAACCATTGATTCCTTGGTAATTCAAAACCCAATCAACTTTCTGGACTTGTAGAGCTAATGACTGGCCCTTGGACTGCAGTGAATTAACTTATGTACACCCTGCCCAGGGGACCCCAGCAGCCAGCAGACAGTCCTCAGTGACCCCTCTGTCTTGAGTTATCTTTCAGACTTCCACAGCCACGTGCTATTTAGCGCGTGAAGACTGCTATGTAGACGCAGAATCTTGTTAATGTGAGCGATGTCATGAGCAGCCGCTGTGGCCTCGAATCTGACTCAGAGGCTGCCTGGAGGAGGAGGAAGGGGGCCCATGCCTGGCTCTCCCTGGCGTTCCTCTGCGCTGGGCCTGAACCGGCTCTGGGTGGCTACTCTGCTCGGTGGTCAAGGCACAGAAGGAAGTGGTTTAGGAGCTGGGCTTCAGTGCCACACAGAGCAGCAGCTGCACGTTAGAACCAAGCAGCCGGCTGCCGGGGATTCCAGGGAGGGCTCAGGGAGCATCTCTCGTCAGCAGTGGCCAGAGAGTGTTGCTGCCTTGTGTCCCAGTGTCTGTCCCCTTACACTGTATCCACGTGCTCGCTTGTCCTCTTGTCTGCCTGATGGCTTCCCGTGACCTGTGGTCATGGCCGTGGCCTCTGTCCTGCCTGCAGGTGTACTGGCACTCCAGTGCCCACGTCCTCGGGGAAGCCCTGGAGCTCCACTACGGGGGCCTCCTGTGCTGCGGGCCACCTACCGACTGTGGGTTCTACTACGACATGTTCCTCAAAGACAGGTAACACCTTTGAGTGCATGTGTTTATAGTGGTTACACATTAGTGTAGTGAATACCTGTTGCAGAATGTGATTATAGATTAGGTCACCATTTATGAACAGTATTATTTTTTATGAGTTTAGATTCAAGGGTAACTTCTCAAATTGTTTTCTTTCTTTTCTTGAGAAGGATGTGATACGCTATTTATGTAACCTGAGACTTGGCTAGGGCAAACTACTAATTTGGACCAGAGTTGTAGGGTTAATCCCTGGAGAGCATATAGTTCAGCTCTGTGCCGTGATGGTCAAGGGCGCTGTCCACCCCAGCCACACATGTCCCACAGCTGGTGCCAGAGGGGCTGGTTCGCAGCGGCCTCACGTTCCTCAAGTAGATCTGTGCTTGAAATCACAAGCAGCAGGCCCAGCTCTGGCCCACCTCCTTCTCCATATCCCTCGTCGCCTTTAAGGAAACCACCAGCTCAAACCAAAACCTGAGGGTCCTCCCAAGCCCACCCTGCTCCTTGCCACCCCCTACCACCCCTAGTCACTCCATCCAGTTCTGCCAGTCTTATCCCCTAAGTAGTTCTCCCCCACCTTCTACCTTAACATAGACCCCCAGCATCCTTGCCTGGACGACCGTGTTACATTTTCCCACCATCTGCCACCTCCATGCTGCCAAAGTGACCCCTCCCTAACCGAGCGCCTGGCACTCTGCAGCTCCTGCTCCCAGCCTGTCCAGCGTAGTCCCCCCTGGAGTCATTCCGCAGGACATGTTGACGCCCCTGTGTGCTCCGGGCTTGGTGCCGCTGTCTGCACTGGACAGATCAGCCTGTCCTCGTGGGCTTAGCGGTCTGGATGGGGGAGACAGACATAGACAGACACACAGCCGTCTGCTGTCGGAGGTGATGAGGTGGCGAGGGCGGTGAAGGGGAGGTGGGGTCCTGAGCAGGCAGCCGGTCAGCTGAGAGCTCAGTGACCTTGAAGCAGGGGTGGGATGGAGGGAGAGAGGGAGCGAGCTCTGAGGCTGGTGGGGGAAGAACGTCCCAGGCCTCTGTGGGGCAGCCCTGGGTCGGGGTGTGTGCGGCTTGTTTGAGGAATGCAGGTGGCCCACAGGGCTGGAGGGGTGTGAGCACAGACAGGGGTTCCTGAGAGGAGCCGGGGCTGCCCAGCGGAGGCCGGCTGACCTGCAGTTCACACTCTCAGAGCTTCCTCTCAGCCTGGATCTCCTGGTCTAGGGCAGGGGCATGGCGCACACTCCACACTACGCTTTTGAACAAAAACATAAACGTGTGTAGAATGAGGAAGACTGCCCAGATGATCAGGCCCCAGAGGAGCTTGTGGTCCAGCTGGGGAGTGTCCAACGGGGCTGTTCAGAGAACCGAGGGCAGTTCATCAGCTGACGCCTCTGTCTCCCTCTTTGAGAAGTAGGGTTACCTACCTTGTGAAAGGATGACTGACCCTCTGAAGTCCTGGACAGTAAAGAACCACGTTCCTCGATGTAGAAGGCTAGTCAGCTGGTGACAAAGGCCACAGGTCTAAGGTCATGTCTGATCAATCTGTGCTGATTTTCGCTGCTTTTCCCTGCAGGGCCGTGTGCAGCACAGAGCTGCCAGCACTGGAGAGAGCGTGCAAGGCCATCATCAAAGAGCAGCAGCCTTTCGAAAGGTTGGAAGTTAGCAAGGAGGCCCTGCTGGACCTGTTTAAGGTGATTTCGTGCCGGGAACGTGAACAATATTTAACACAGACGACTGGTTTTAACAAATAATTGGCCACTGCTCACCAAATTGTTCCAAACGGGTTGGTTGAATTTTTAATGTGGACATAGGTAGGTGAAGTGCTGGGTGAATAGTTTCATATGTGTGTTTTATAAATCTGATTAATTCTGAGTGTTGTTAGTACTCCGGCTATTGAATTCAACAGTATGTATAATACCATATAAAATTATGGGTTTTCCTCTTTTGTTTGGGGTTTTCTGCTAATTTTTTTTTCACATCTTTATTGGAGTAAAAATGCTTTACAATGTTGTGTTAGTTTCTACTGTTGAACGAAGTGAATCAGCTGTATGTATACATATATCCCCATATCCCCTCCCTCTTGAGCCTCCCTCCCACCCTCCCTATCCCACCCCTCTAGGTCATCACAAAGCACTGAGCTGATCTCCCTCTGCTATCCCTCTGCAGCAGCTTCCCACTAGCCATCCATTTTACATTTGGTAGTGTATATATGTCCATGTCACTCTCTCACTTCATCCCAGCTTCCGCCTGCCCCCCGCTGTGCCCTCAAGTCCATTCTCTACACCTGTGTCTTTATTCTTACCCTGCCACTAGGTTCATCAGTACCGCTTTTTAAAATTCCGTATATAAGCGTTAGCATACGGTATTTGTTTTTCTCTTTCTGACTTACTTCATTCTGTATGACAGATTCTAGGTCCATCCACCTCACTACAGATAACTCAATTTCGTTCCTTTTTATGGCTGAGTAATATTCCATCGTATATATGTGCCACATCTTCTTTATCCATTCATCTGTTGATGGACATTTAGGTTGCTTCCATGTCCTGGTTATTGTAAATAGTGCTGCAGTGAACATTTTGGTACATGTATCTTTTTGAATTATGATTTTCTCTGGGTATATGCCCAGGAGTGGGATTGCTGGGTCATGTGGTAGTTCTATTTTTAGTTTCTTAAGGAACCTCCATACTGTTCTCCATAGTGGCTGTATCAGTTTACATTCCCACCAACAGTGCAGGAGGGTTCCCTTTTAAAATTTTTACATGTCCTCAGAATTTTATTTACTTCATGTAGTTAAAATTGGAATCTTCGAGAGCAGTGCTGTCCAATAATGAGATCCACAAATCTGAGCCACATATGTCATCTTAAATTTTCTGGTAGCCACCTTTTAAAAGTAAAAGAAAGATTAAATTAATTTTTATAACATTTTATTTAACCCAATAAATCAAAAATAATTGCTTCAACATGTAACCAACATAAAAAGTAATTAGTGAGCTATTTTATTTTCTTCTTTTCACATTATGCCTCTGAAATCCAGTGTTTTGCCCTTGTGGTGCACCGCATTTCAGATCAGTTGCATTTCAAATGCTCAGTAGGCTCCTGTCCTGCATGGCATAGCTCTGGGCTCTCAGCTGTTTGTATCCCCACAGTCTCAGCACCTAGAACGTAGCAGACGCCCATTCAGTGTGTGTTGAAAAAAGTTAACATTTTTTCCCGCTTAAACATTTTGTGTGATAATATGTAAATGTATTTTTCTTTCTAGTACAATAAATTTAAATGCCATATCCTGAAGGAGAAGATTAACACGCCAATGACCACAGTTTACAGGTAAAGTGTGTGTGAATTTTAAACACTGCTCAGTGGTACATCTGAAGGCATTAACAGTAGCAAGTCTGTCTTTGGTGGGTGGTCTGTTTGTAAATTTGCATGGTTGGTATAGTACTACTGTAGGTGGGGACTCTGAAATGTTATCACCAAAGGGGAATTGTTATTTTCTCATTTGTATTTATCAGGATGGTACTAAAAATCCACATTCTGTTTTCTGGATGTTAACTGTAGCAGCCTCTTTCTCCCTGTGGGTAAGACTGTGTTCTCAGGGCCTCACATTTTTGGGGACTGTTAGGGAAAGGAATTCTGTTTGTCCTCCCACATTCTTATTGAGGGGCGGTGGGAGCTGACATGGGCCATCTCTTCAGGCAGTGATTCTCTGCCTCTTACCATGCTCTCCACTGCTTGGGGTCCAAGAGCATTACCCTCCAGGCGTCAGCTGGACTCACAGTGAGACAAGGAGTGGTGGGAAGCAGAGGCCAGCAGGAGCCCCTACCTAAACCACTTAGTTTTGCTGGGCATTAGGCTCCCAACCCCTTTTACTGGCCACTTGTTCAGCTGCTTTGTGGGTACTGCTTGTCTCTGTTCCTGTGTGTCCTGCTCTCTGGCTGCCTGTGACCTTCACGGTCCCATCGGAGAAGACCTGGTCCCTGTATAAGTACGACCACAAATATCCTCCACAGGGAACTTCCTTTCCACACTTAAGTACTATGGTTCTCTGACTTAATTGTACTGTGAGTAAAATTATACCCCCTTTATGCACAGCTGTGCACAGTGCATTTCTTTTTAAAAAAAAAAATAAATTTATTTATTGTATTTATTTATTTTTGGCTGTGTTTGGTCTTCATTGCTGCACGTGGGCTTTCTCTAGTTGCAGCGAGCAGGGGCTACTCTTCGTTGCCATGCGTGGGCTTCTCACTGTGGTGGCTTCTCTTGTTGCAGAGCACGGGCTCTTGGCGCGTGGGCTTCAGTAGTTGTGGCTCACAGGCTGTAGAGTGCAGGCTCAGTAGTTGTGGTGCACGGGCTTAGTTGCTCCGTGGCATGTGGGGTCTTCCCGGACCAGGGCTCAAACCCATGTCCCCTGCATTGGCAGGCGGATTCTCAACCACTGCACCACCAGGGAAGTCCCCACAGTGCATTTCTTAAATGATAATATGAACACATGGCCATTTTATGCTGAAGGTGGATACCATGCTTATCTTATTTTTGCTGCTCTCCAATGACCTGATAAGATTTTGTTATTTATTACCTATAATACAAATAAGTGTCAGTGTAATCATTTTAAAGTTTAAAAATAAATGAAGAAGTTGAAAAGGTATGCTAAGTTTTAAATTTCTGGCTTTTAATACTTGACATTTTGGGTTTTTTTTTAACTTAGGTCAACATTGATGCTTATTCTCTCAATTGGAATGGCTTGTATTTAATTTTTTGAAAATAGATGGCTTTTTTTCTATGGAATTATTTAAAGATAGCTTATTAAAGTCTTTCATGCTAATCAGGCATTTTTTTCCATTTCTCTGAGCATTGACTTACAACCTCCATCTTGGACAGAGAACAATACATAAAAGCCTGGTCATTCAGAGAAATGACGTTTTCATGTTTAAAGCTTCATTGTACTTTGGTGAATAATCCAGTCCCTTTATGTATTCATTGTAATTTTTAACTTTTTAACCAATGAACTTTAAAAATACTTAAAATTGGTTGGAACAGTTAAGGAACAACTTTTTTTCTTTACTAAATTTTCCTTAAATTGGTTGACGTTAAGTCACCTTCCCTCAGACCCACATTATTGGTATCTTAACTCTGCTAATGTTTCTGTACTTGGAGAAAAGTCTGCGCTTGTTAGGGTTTGGTGGTCCCTTGTTCATTTTAGGTGCAGGCAAGTCTCCAGCTGCAGCCCCATGTGCTTTAATAGCAGTGTCATCTCTGATCTAAACCTTTGCCTGAGATTTACGTTGTTAAGTCAGTATGCTGTTTTTCTAAACCAAGAGACAATTAGACATTTTGTCATGAAATCAGAGGGCCTTAAAACAAACAAAAACCCTTGAATTTATTTACTTTTTAAGTAGACTTTATTTTTTAGAGCCGTTTAGGTTCTCAGCAAAATTTAGAAGAAGATGCAGAGTTCCCATATACCCTTGCCCCCACGTATGCACGACTTCCCCATGGTCAAGATTACCCACCAGAGGTGGGAAATGAGTTACAATCCATCTACACCGATGCTTATAGCGTGCTTCACTGTTGGTGTTGTGCATTCTGTGGGTTTGGTGAAGTTGATTTTTAATGTAAAATATCAACTTAATGCATTTTTTATAACTCATATAATTTTGGTTTTGAAAATTAGTGTAGAGCAGGGAAATGGCTATCTGATTTTAAGACAGTGAAGGTTTTTAGGAGCCTTAGGGTGTGACAATGAAAAGTATTGTCTCTGTCTGCACAGTTTCTTTCCAAGGATTCTGTGGCTTTTGAATGTGAGCAAAGGAGGGAAAGCTGGGATCTGAGCCTAGGTGAATCGACTCTTTCCTGCTCCTTAAATTAAAAATTAATTTAAATTAAGTTGTTCCTAAATTAAACATTGCCCTAAAACATAGAACATGGTTTCTAATGAATAGTCCCAAAAGCTATAACTGTGCCTGGGCATGTTTTAAATATTTTATTACAGGTGTGGTCCACTAGTTGACCTTTGTAAAGGCCCCCATGTAAGACACACTGGAAAAATTAAAAAGATAAAAATTTTCAAGGTAAGTATTGATTTTTTTCTTAATATAGTAAACTTAAGATGAACTAGATATTCAATAATATCTTTTATAACCTGAACACCATGCCTCTTAGAAACACTACATTCATGTTTGATTTTTATATGGGCTTCTAAAAATAATATAATTTTTTAGAATTTTGGTGATTAGAACATTATATGTAGCCTTTAATTGTTTATCATTTAACCTTACTATACGTATTACAGTGCATTTCTTTTTCATCTATATTAAAATATTGTTCTGCATACTATTGTTTTCTTGAATTGCCCTAATGTGAACAAGAATGTTTGTCTGCATGTAAGAATAACATACTGTAGGAAAAGGAGAAAATAAAGGGATAGAGTGGTATGATGCAGAAAACACGCTCTGGAATCAAGAGGCCTGAGACTGACATCACCATCCTGCCCTTCCCAGGCCTTGGTTTTCTCACAGGTGGAGGAAGGGTGATGACAGTCAGCAAGGCTGGCCTTCATGTCCCCACACCTCTTCCTCCACTGCCCTCTCCTGGGTGATGCACTTGGTGCTTGGCCTTCCCTCATTTCCACACTTTCTTTCTCACTTTTCATCCCTAGAATCCACAGCAGACTGAGTACATAATTTACTGATTAATGGTATAATTTGGGCTGGGAAGGTTTAGTTAGAAACAATTTAAGATTCCAAGTCTACAAAAACTCATCTTTAAGTAAGCTATGCTGATGTTAGGGTGAGGAATTGTGTACAGTCATCCCTTGGCATCCACGGGGCAGTGTTTCCAGGATACCCGGCTGATACCAAAGTCCACGGTAGCTCAGGCCCCTGGTATGAACCAGCTGTACATATTTCAGAGCAGTTTTATTTGTAACCAAGGGTTTGGTGTGTTTACCCAAATCTCATCTGATGTTTAGAATTCCTCAACATATTGGGAGGGTAACCCTGAAATGGAAACGCTGCAGAGGGTCTACGGGATATCCTTTCCTGATGACCAGATGATGACAACCTGGGAGAAGCTGCAGGAGGAGACCGAGACCCAGGATCACAGGAAGATTGGGAAGGTGCGCCGCGCTGAGCGCTGCTGAGCTGGCCTGCGACCGCGTCCCAGGACTAGGGTGTCTTAAAACTAACACTTCTTGGGGGCTTCCCTGGTGGCGCAGTGGTTGAGAGTCTGCCTGCCGATGCAGGGGATACGGGTTCGTGCCCCGGTCTGGGAGGATCCCACATGCTGTGGAGCGGCTGGGCCCGTGAGCCATGGCCGTTGAGCCTGCTCGTCCGGAGCCTGTGCTCCACAATGGGAGAGGCCACAACAGTGAGAGGCCCACATACGGCAAAAACAAAACAAAACAAAAAAAACTAACACTTCTCCTCCTCCTCCTCTCCTGTCTTCTGTTTTGCTGGCGTTCATGGTTTGCTGCTGAGTTCTTTCACGCTCCTACCGCAATGCCTTCTAACCTCTTTCCTTCTTGTATTTTTTATTAGATTTAAACAATTGCACCTTTCATTTTTATCATGATATAAAAATAACCTTTTTAAAAAAATGGTGTATACTTTGTATTTGGGAAGCAGAGCAGAAACAAAGAAGATCTGCAAGAAGGCAGACCTGGGTTTAACTCTCAGTCCTGCCACGTAGGAGCTGTTACATGACAGGCCAGGCACTCACTGTGGAGCTCCATGTCCTCGGCTCTGCTGGGTAGCGTGCAGAGTGGCATGAGGACGGACACTGGGTGGTGGTGGCCGCCAGGGTGGGCTCTCAGCATGACGGCCATGCTGATGTCACGTCACTCAGAGCCCACCTCCAGCCATGTCTCCCCATGAGATCCGTACTCCAAGGTGCTGAGGAGGAAATCAGCAGTAAATACTAGGTGAAATAAAAGCCAAGTTCAAAGCTAAGTAACCATAAATATGAGTTGTAATTTTACATGTGCTGTTACATGTAGTTAGATTCAAGTACAGTATTGAGGGACTTTGGAATGTCAATATTAGAATCGGAAATAACTGAGTATATGTTTCATTCCTAGTGTATCATTTGTATACAGTAAATGTTATGCAGCAACAGTGAAAATGAAATGCAATTATTGTTTTAATCTAGGAACAAGAACTTTTCTTCTTCCATGATCTGAGTCCTGGAAGCTGTTTCTTTCTTCCCAGAGGAGCCTTTGTTTATAATACACTTATGGATTTCATACGAGTAAGTTAATTTTTAAAATATTCTATACTTATTCAACTCCATTTTACTATTTTCTCTCATCATAAAATGGCCAAGCATTTCCATTAATTTTATTTTAATAATACTAAGAATGTTGAACCTCAAAGAGAAATGCCACATTGTGCCTTCAGCTAAAAACATTGAAACAATTTGTATTTTCCCTAAATATTTACATTTATCCTTGGACTTCATTAAATGTACTTCTTGTCCATGTAAGTTTCTAGAGCACGTAGGATACTAAGATAAACTTCAGACCAAGTGTGGAACTCCCCCTGAGAGAAGGAAGGAGGAAGTGTTCTGTGTGGCACAGAATGCTAAACTGTGAAGTATCATTGCTTCTCAGGATGTGATCCCTGGACCACTGGTGCCCCCCGCCATTGTTTATTATGTGACTCCTGGGTGATTTGGCAGCTCCAGAGCAAAGAGTGAAAAAACAATTTTGTAAAATAGCTACTTGTACAATAGGACAAGTTCATAGAGTAGAAAGTCTTCATTAGGACTATGTAGATGTTGTGCAGAGGTGACCCAGGCAGACTACTAGGATTACTTTTCCTTTCCTTCCTGTAATCTTTCCTGTGTCTTTCCTGTAATTAATAATTACCTAAAACTTTCATTTCCTCAGTTTTCTATGTGCCCATCACTAATTCATCCTCAACTTTCTATCAAAACTCTGAAACTCCTTGCAGTGTATTCTGATGATTCAGGTAATCTCTAAGTAAATTCTTATTCTTCAAATTTGGTCCTCTCCCTCCAGAATTGACTTGCTGCTAAGATTCTTGACAACTGATGTCTTAGGACTTCTTTTCGTCATTGCCCTGGCTGCTCCCCTCCTGTCTTTCCTCTGCTGAGTCCACTCTCCCCTGACCCATGTCTTCCTCTTCCTTGCTTGTCCCTCTCGTTGGGGGAACCACCTTCTGCAGTGCCTTCCTGAGCAAGTACGCGGCCTGTACTGGTTACTCTCTGACTCGCTTTCCTTCCTTCTCTTCTCCGCTGTGCGCCTGGAGGCTGACCTCTGTGGGCTGCATGCCGTCCACAGGGATTGGCTGCTGCTTAGCCATGGGAGGAGATCAGAGAGCAGGGAGGTAGGACCTGAAGAGTCTTTGAATGGTGTCAGACTTCACCAGGTGGTAATGGCCATCACAGCTGCTGTTTGGGGTGTGCTGTCTTTGCTGGAAAATCAGCACAGCCCCTGGCACCTTGAACTCCCTAGGTTGGAGGTGGAATGTGTGGAGAATAAACAGGAAGCCTCTATGGTGGCCTTTATCTTTTATAGATGCAAGACAGACATGGCTGATGATCAGGCCCAAGGCCTGATCATATGGGTTGTAGTACTGTACAGTCATTTACATACGTAAGCCCAGTGGTCTATTCCGCTGAGGTAAGGGCATTGGTGGGAAGGACGGGGGTCTCTGAGGCTTCGAAGGGGAATGGTTGGCAGACACAGATGAGGTGAAGAACTCTGAACCCCCAGATAATCCGTGTCTGAGGAAATCGGCCTTTCCATGCAAAAAAGAAAAACCTCTCAGAGACTGCCTTCTCCTGGTTTCCTGGTATGCAGTCTTGCTTCTTTCCACAGCTGATCATTTTCTATTCTATGCTGGATATTGTATGTAAACATACCTGCAGAGACTCCGGGTGATGTTTTCTCCCACTTGAGCAGTTACCCATCACCTAGACGGAAGAAGCCCTCAGTGCAGAGACTGAGCTCAGTCAAGGCTGGGCTTGCGTTTGGATGGGACACAGGCTGCCCTTGTGTCTGGGGCCTGGCCCCCGGGGCTTCCAGCTGAGCGTCTGGTGGCTCTTTATGTCTTCAGCCCCCAAAGGCTGGAGGATAATCAGCTCTGCCCTTTGAATGTGTTTTGAGTGCTGAATAAAAGGTCTGCCTAGTCTCCTTTGGTTACCACATCAGCCCAGAAGCTAGTAACTCATCTCGGTGCAGAGGAGGCTTCTCAGGTGTAGCCCCTCAGGTAGAGTTCCCGTCAGTGTAAGACCTGTGGACTAAAGAGATAGGTTACCTGTGGGCCACCCCACTCCCCCCACCCCGCCACATTATAAAATGATGATGGAGGAGTAGGAGGCCGGGGACATTCCCACTCAGGAAGGGATGGGCGCAGAAGGAGGTGCTGGGGTCGGTGATCTGTCGAAACCCTGATTCCCACCCGTCTTCCTGCTCCAAGGTCAGAAAACGCTTGTTATTCAGGACTCAGTTCTCTTCCCTCTGGGCCCTGGTTTCGAGTCAGCCTCCCTGTCTGTGTGGACCTCTGAGCAGCTTTCTCAGTGTCCCCAGCCTGATTCCTTCTGTGAAGGTTGGGGTCCAGAGACCTCATTTCTTCTCGTGCTGTCTCTGTCCCTTTCAATCCCAGCTAGTACAGTTCCTTTAAGAGTGGGCGGGGGGGGGCACTTTTTTTTTTTTTTTTTTTTTTTTTTTTTTTTTTTTTTTCTGCGGTATGTGGGCCTCTCACTGTCGTGGCCTCTCCCATTGCGGAGCACAGGCTCCGGACGAGCAGGCTCAGCGGCCATGGCCCCCGGGCCCAGCCGCTCCACGGCACGCGGGATCCTCCCAGACCGGGGCACGAACCCGTATCCCCTGCACCGGCAGGCGGACTCCCAACCACTGCGCCACCAGGGAAGCCCGGGGGGGGCACTTTTACATACAGTGTTTATAATCAACGCTTAGATAAAAGCCATCCCTGCGTCTCTTTCTGGGACAGATTTTTCCCTACCCGGGGCTGCCTGGGAGGCTGCTGGGAGATGACACTTAAAAATGTAAAAGCCTCATCTTTAACTGAGTGTACAAAGCGCAGTCCTAAGACTCATAAAGCCCCATTGGGTACTCAGCTCATTCCGAGGTCTTTGCAAAGGGCAGACAGCCGCACCCTTAAGATTTTATCTTTGTCCTCAAGAGTCTTGTGACTCTTGCTGAGAGGGTCTGAGGGTGAGAAAGTTTTATTTTTGAATCTGGTAGGTCCTGCCACCTTTGTATTTCCTCTAAATTTGTCTCAGAAACGGAATAGTGCTCTCTCTAGTTTCTGTCTTCTTATATTTTGTCACAGGCAGTTAGAAGTCGGCTGTACCTTTCCACATTCGGCCCGGACACCCCCAGCTAAGTCTGTGAGTTCTTTGGGGACTCTTTCTGTTTTCCGTGTTACCTGGGGTGACGGTTACCAAATCTCTGGCACCACCTAACAAGGGTCCTCTTTTCTTCAACTTCCAGTAACATTTTCCTCCCTATTAGTGTTCAGCTCGTCGCAGACAGTTTCTTTAAGGCCCTTCTAGCTCTGCCCACCACTTGGCCCTAAAGCCACAACCCCCTGTTTTAGGGTTACTGGTGCAGCAGCACCCATGGCCAGTGCACATTCTGTCCTGGTTGTCTGTTCTATCGCAGCCTAGAAAACCATCCTGAAACTGAGTAGCTTACACCTGCTGATTAAAACTTCTCTTTCATGGTTCCAAGTGTTAGGCTCATCGGGGTGGTTCTTGCATTAGGTCCCTTATGTTGTTGCAGGAAGGGGAACCCCTTCCAGAGCCCAAGAGTGGGCTCTTGGCTAACACTTGGAAATGAATTGTCCAAGAAGACACATGTGCTGACAAAGCAGGAGACTTTATTGGGAAGGGGCACCCGGGCGGAGAGCAGTAGGGTAAGTGAGCCCAGGAGGACTGCTCTCCACGTGGCTAGAAGTCTTGGGTTTCATGGTGATGGGGTTAGTTTCAGGTTGTCTCTGGCCAGTCATCTTGCTTGGTCCATATTTGGTGGCTCAGGGTCCTTCCTGGTGGCATGCGCATCTCTCAGCCAAGATGGATTCCAACACGAGGGTTTCTGGGAGGTTGGCAGGACATATTATGGGCTGACGTCTCCTCCCTTTTCCTTTCAGCCCCTTCCGAATTCTCCCTGTTAGTTTTCAGTGGCAGCACCATGTTCTTTATCAGGACCTCCTGCTGTGAGACAACACAGGCAGGCACTTACCATAGTGCCTGGCCAAGGTGGGCAGTTTCGGTCAACGGTTCCCTAACAATATTACTGCATTCGGAGGGAGGCTACTGATTGAAATATAAGTTACATTCATTAAAGTGGACAAATCGGAAGCATTTCACGTGTGCACATCTACCAGCCACACTCAAATCAAGACCAAGAACCTTCCATCTTGTCGTGTGTCCTCTTGGGTCTCTTCCCAGTTGGTACCTGCCTCCCCTCCCCTCCCCTGAGATCATCTCTATGCTGATTTTGGTTACCATAGATAAATTGCCCCTGTTTTTTAAACTTCATAACATGGAATCGTAGTATTCACTATTGTGTTTCTGGCTTCTTTTGTTCAACTTAATGTGTGAGATTCATCCAAGTTGTGTGTATTTTGATTTATCCCATTTTATTACTATAGTACAATCTGTTTATTTATTCTCCTGTAGATGTAGGTTGTTTCCAGTTTGGGGCTATTACATACGAAGCTACTGTGAACATTCTTGATCATGTCTTTGGTGCTCCCAAGAACCCACTTCTCTTGGGTATTTACTTGGGAGTAGAATTGCTAGGTCCTGGGGAAGTAATGGCAAACTTTTTAAGAAAATGCTGAACAGTTTTTGTGTAGTTGAACCACTTACTACTCCTTCTAGGAATATATGACTATTTAATTCTTCTACACTGTTAAAAACAAAATTCAGCCAAGTAAATTTGAAGAACTAATTGGCTTTATTCAGAAATTCAAGAATCAGCAGCAGTAGGAGGGGTTGTACGAAATGGAAGGTTTTTATAGGTAGAAGGAGGGGAGGGGGCGAGAAGGTGTTACCAAATGAAAAGAAAGGATTATTTCAGGCAGGCTGTCTTCTACTGGGGGAGGAAGGAACAGCAGGGTCTTTCTCAGGTAGTTACCTCACCAGTGCTGATCAGGACATTTCTGATGGGCTGTTGTAAAGGTCACATCTCTGCGGGGGGTGGGGTTGAAACTGTCTTGGTTTCTTGTTTCTTTCTTGGGGTAAGTGACCCCATTTGGGGCTTGTTATTTCTTTTTTAACACTTGGTATAATGGCATTATTTTGCATATCCCTGATGGATAGTGTTGTTGAGAATCTTTTCATATGCTTATTAGCCACTTGGATGTTCTCTTTTGTGAAGCTCCTGTTTAAATATTTTGCCCATTTAAAAGTTTGGGTTGTCTTTTTTTTTTTTTTTTTTTTTTTTTTTTGCGGTATGTGGGCCTCTCACTGTTGTGGCCTCTCCCATTGTGGAGCACAGGCTCCGGACGAGCAGGCTCAGCGGCCATGGCTCACGGGCCCCGCCGCTCCACAGCATGTGGGATCTTCCCAGACCGGGGCACGAACCCGTATCCCCTGCATCGGCAGGCGGACTCTCAACCACTGCGCCACCAGGGAAGCCCTGGGTTGTCTTTTTATTATTGATTTGTAGGAATTTTTTTCTATATTCTGAATCTGAGTCCTTAGTTAAATATATGTAATAAATATATTTTTTCAGTCTGTGGCTTCTTGATTTATTTTTTAATGATGCCTTTGGACCAACACTTTTTATGTTTAATGAAGTCCAGTTTATTGCTTTTTCTTTTCTGCTTAGTCTTTTTCACGTCCTATTTAAGAAATCTTCTGCCGACTTCAGAGGCATGAAGCTATTTTTCTTTGTTCTGTTTAAAAACTTGTTTGCTTTCACACTTAAGGCTATGATTTACCTTGGATTCATTTTGAGGTTCTGTGCTTATCCAGTAACTTCAGTACCATTTATTGCTATAGTAGAATCTTTGTCCTAAACCAAATCATCGCATATATATTTTTTCTGGGTATTTATTCTGTTCTTCTGATCCCTTTGTTGTCTGGCCTTGCATCAGTACCACACCGCTTTGATTACTGTAACTGTATTTTAAGTCTTGGTGTCAGTAGTTTAAGTTCATTAATTTTATTATTTTTGTTCAGGATTATTTTGGCTATTCTTTGCATTTCCATATAACTTTTACAAGAAGCTTGTCAATTTCCTAAAAAGGAAAAAAACACTGCTGAGATTTTGATTGGAATTACATTCAGTCTGTAGATTAATTTGCAGATAATGACAGTGTTGAGTTTAACAATCCATAAATATGTAAATCTTGTCAACTCATTTAGATCTTTATTTTCCCTCAGCAATATTTTGTTATTGCTACTTTAGAGGTCTTAACACATCTTTCATCAGATTTATCCCTAGATATTTGATTTTGTTAATGGAAACAGCAGAAAAAACACACAAAAAATGCTAAACATCATTAGTCATAAAAGAAATGAAATTTTCAATGGAAACCCTAAAATATAGAAGACAGAGCACTACCTTAAAAATGTGAAGCCAAGAAATCTATATCCAGCCAGAGCAGTCTTGCTTCTGGGATTCTCCCATAGTTTCAGCTTTCCCAGATCTGCTGAGGCTGTTGCTCATCTGCTTTCCAGATTCGTAAGTATATAGCTGTCATCTCCTCTCCTTTTTCTCTTTGGCCTTGTAGATTTATGCTTTTATTAAAACTCTGGTATTTGTGTGATTTTGGAAAGGATCTGTTTAAGTGGAATCACTTTAGTGTTTATAATGAAAACTTACTTAAGAGAATTTCTCTATGCACTGATATTTAGGTGCTATTTCCAGTGGCCAAATCACAGGTGCAGGTGGAGATTCAGTACCTTCTATGGTATGAAGTTATTACTTCAGGGATGAAATATGCTTTTTAATCTTCAGAATAAGCCTTCAGGATTTCTTCAGATCAGACTGAGCTATAGACTGGTCAGTCATCATGACTTTGCTCTTTCTCAGACTTGATTTTCTTTACTCTTTAGAGAAAGAAATTGATGATATGGATTCAGATATATTTTTCCCCAACTTTTTCTTTCAAAAAGTTCAAATCTACAGAAAAGTTAAAAGAGCAGTGCAGTGAGCATACATGTGTCCTTCATCTAGATTCATCAATTGTTAAGTTTGCCAATTTGCTTTCTCTCTCTCTGACATGTATGTGCATGTGAGAGAGACAAAACAATATATATATTACAGACATATAATATACAGAGATAAGGTAGTATACATGCAATATATGTATACATTTTATGTATAAATGTAGCAGTTGTTTTTTGCTAAACTGCATAAAATAAGTTGCAAACATAATGACACTTGCCCTCATAGGGCATAGTTTAAAATCGTTTCCAAACACCTCAACAAAACAAATTCCTAACATGATTGTGTCCAGAGTGGGTTAAAAAAAATCTATCAATTACTATCTCCTGAGCTTAGCTTTAAAAGTAACCTCTAGTAAAAAGAAACCAAAACACAAAAACCCCTTTAATTTCTGGGACCTTGTTTTTTGTTTTTTTTGTTTGTTTTAAATTTATTTATTTATTTATTTGATTTTGAACTGTGTTGGATTTTCATTGTTGCACACGGGCTTTTTCTAGTTGTGGTGAGCGAGGGCTACTCTTTGTTGCAGTGCGCAGGCTTCTCACTGCGGTGGCTTCTCTTGTTGCAGAGCACGGGCTGTAGGCGCGTGGGCTTCAGTAGTTGTGGCACGCAGGCTCAGTAGTTGTGGTGCACAGGCTTAGTTGCTCCGTGGCACGTGGGATCTTCCCGGACCAGGGCTCGGACTCGTGTCCCTTACATCGGCAGGCAGATTCTTAACCACTGCGCCACCAGGGAAGTAGCTGGGACATTGTTTAATCTGAGTATATGGAGCCATCTGACTTACCACTAAATAATTACTGCCATTCATAGTGACCTATAATTTTGTTGAAATTTTCCTATTTGGTAAAAACAAAGGTTAAGTAAAGAAGCTTAATGGATAGCTGAGACCCAGGCTCTTCACGACTGGACTCAAAAGATGCTCAGCTGAAGAGTGACAAATAATATATCCCTGTCAGTGATGCAAAACTGTTCTTTGTAGTAATTTTGAAATAGTATGTTTTATATTTTTTTAATTGTATAAAAAATATATTTTTACTTAGCTAAAATATGGTGATCTAGGTTTGTGCCAGATGCCCATTAAATGATTAACAAACGTTGAAACTCTAAGAAACACTGAACAAAGATCATCAGATTGATAACGTGAAGAAAAAAAAAGCAAAGTTAAAGTAAAAGAAGAACTGTGCTTGAAAACAAGACTCTCTTTTCCTGACCCCAGTGATGGAATGAGGGAAGCTGTTAATTGATAGGGAGGGAGCAAAGCCAGCTCCTGACTCAGTAGATAACAACCACTTAAAATATTACAAATTCAAATTCCCAGCTTTCTTTCTATTTAAAACTAAATGGGTCAAAACTGTAAATAACATGGCACTCAGAGGCTTATTGAGTTATAAAATTATTCTACCTCTTAAGTAATAGAAAAAAAAAACTCCTGGGCTTCCCTGGTGGCGCAGTGGTTGAGAGTCCGCCTGCTGATGCAGGGGACACGGGTTCGTGCCCCGGTGCAAGAGGATCCCACATGCCGCGGAGCGGCTGGGCCCGTGAGCCATGGCCGCTGAGCCTGCGCGTCCAGAGTGCGTCTGGAGCCTGTGCTCCTTAACGGGAGAGGCCACAACAGTGAGAGGCCCGCGACCCAAAAAAAAAAAAAAAAAAAAAACTCCTGCTGTTTATCTGGAATGTACAAGGATTTGGGAGTTTGTAGTTACAAAAAGTTTATATATATAGTATTTCAATTACTAATTCTCAAAGAATTAAAATATTATACACTATATACTATTATACTATAAAATAAATATACTTAATGTGAAAATTACACTGAGCATACACTAATCTTTCTTTCATCATCCATAAAGAACCACCCTTAAAGCCAAGGGCATATTAACCATGAATTAATGTAAGACATAATCCTGAATTTAAAAATCTTTGTTCATAGTGTTATTTGCCTGGAGTTGTGACCTGTCCCAGCAGTTTTTAACTTTGCGTGTGCGTCTCTTTTAGGAGGAGTACCACCGACGCAGCTTCATGGAGGTGCTCTCCCCCAACGTGTACAGCAGTAAGCTCTGGGAAACCTCTGGACACTGGCAGCATTACGGTGACAACATGTTCACCTTTGACATTGACAAGGACACTTTCGCCCTTAAGCCCATGAATTGTCCGGGGCACTGGTGAGTATTGAAAGTGAAGCAGATCTGTGCCTATAAACGCATAGCAGACTTCCTCACAATTAGTCTTTAATATTATTTTGCTTTTTGGAACTAAGTGATTCCTTTAATCTGAAGACTGGTGGTTAGAAATCATCTTTACCAAGTTATTTCATTCTGGAGAATAAATTTACTTTTGAAAATATGTTTGCTCTTTGACAGGTGTGGGATGTTAGCTGGAAACCATTTAATATTTTGTGCTTAGAGGATAATGTTACATATCAACTTTATAAATTATTGTAGTATTTCTAATAGTAATACACTTCAAATATACATATTTGCAGAACATCTAGTTCTTACATACTGTTTGGGTTGATTGTAACAAGAACAGTGAGGTCAAAATAAATGACTGGATTTCATTGATTCTAAGATGGCTTTACCCCTGAAATTGGGATGCATCTTATAATTGGTATCTTAACATTATGCCATAATTTAATTAATGGTTATTTTCTTTCTTAGTGATGTATAAAATAATGGTACATCTTACAATCAAGGTTGTCTTAGAGTCTGTGAAAGAATGTAATTATCATAAGGTTACATGGTATGCAAATAACAACCTTGTAAGAGTAGCAGATTTTCCAACTGGAAGTGAACAGATACAATTCTCCACAAAAAAAATATCCCAACTATTGTAGCTTTGTATCATCAACTACATAGTTTCAGGTAAATTTACCTTAGAAGGTAACTACTTAAAACAAACCTCTGAACATTGAAGAAAGCTCTTTACCCTTTTCAGTAAAGAATGAAAGAAGTTCAACTTTATGACAGCATGTAAAAAATATATATTTATCTTTAATTTTCTAAAAACGGTTATGTAAATATTCTATAACCTCGTTTTAAAAACAGAAGGTGGGGCTTCCCTGGTGGCGCAGTGGTTGAGAGTCCGCCTGCCGATGCAGGGGACGCAGGTTCGTGCCCCCGTCCGGGAAGATCCCACATGCCACAGAGCAGCTAGGCCTGAGAGCCATGGCTGCTGAGCCTGCGCGTCCGGAGCCTGTGCTCTGCAATGGGAGAGGCCACAACAGTGAGAGGCCCGCGTACCACAAAAAAAAATAATAAAAAATAAATAAATAATAAAAACAGAAGGTGGAGGCTAACCTTGTGCTTTCAATTATCTAAAACACGTGTATTAACAACTTCTTAACTCAGTTTCCCCTTGGGTACTAGTTGAAGCTGTGATTTCAATAGAATTAGAAGAAAGCTGAACACAAGTAGAGAATGTAATTTTGTATTTTCATGTCTTAGAACAAGGAAGAGCAGGACCACAGTGGTCTAGTGGTGATGGGATATGGGAGCCAGGGGTGCTTCCTGCAGAAGAGAGGCCTTTCATTCAACAGAGAACATTAGCCGAGTGTTTCCAGTGCTGGGAGCTGGAAATGCAGAGGTGATTCAGACACAATCCATTTCTCCCAGAGCTCATGAGCAGAGTGGGGAAGGAACAGATATATAGACAGTCAGTTATAAAAATAGCAAGACCAGTGTCAAAATTGTGGCAATTCCAGCTGTTCTTGGAGCCTGAGGCAAGCCTGACTAGCCCTTCTGGGGGAGTGTCCAGGGCTGCTTCACTTAAGAAGTAGCCTTTGAAATGGATTGTAAACGGTAAGTGGATATTCCCTGGGTGAATGAGAGTAGGGAACAGCATTCTGGAGAAGATAAGAGGGTTCTTTCTCAGAGTGTGCAGTGATGTAAATTCAAGGTTCACTAATTCATGGGAGAAGAATTTTTGTAAAATTGGTGATCTAAGAACCAGAATAAGGTGTTTACAAATCCTGAGGCATTTAACTGTACCTTATTAACATCTAGATCATTACATAATCTTTTTCATGCTAAGGAAAAGCTGTGCGCCATTGTGTCTTTTCTAGTCTGTTGTTTGCCCATCGTCCACGATCTTGGAGGGAAATGCCTATTAGATTTGCTGACTTCGGAGCTCTTCACAGGAATGAGCCGTCAGGAACTTTGCGTGGCTTGACCCATGTCAGGCGCTTCCAGCAGGATGACGCTCACATCTTCTGCACTGTGGAGCAGGTAAATGGGGACACGGGGGAGGTGTGGTCAGCACAGGTCCAGTGTGCTGCCTTGGACAAATTGCTGAGTCTTTCAGAGTCGCTGTGAAATGTGTTGTTCAGTCTAATCTCTGAGGGCCCATCAGCTCCAACATTTTGTGATTCTCTAATTTGGGTCATAGATCAGTAATCTCATGACATGAAAAAGTTTTTTTCAAACATAATTAATTTTATTATAAATGAACATAATTCTCTGAAAATTCGAAGTTCTGTTTGATGCTATTTAAAAATTTTTAACAATCAGTCACTGACAGAAATCAAAAGTAAAGACAATTTTATTATTATACATTGGAACATAAATCACATTGTTGTTTATCTATTTTATCTATCTGTAAAGTAGTGTGTGTCTGTTAATCCTAAACTCCTAATTTATTCTCCCCCTTCCCTTTCCCCTTTGGTAACCATAAGTTATTTTCTATGTCTGTGAGTCTGTTTCTATTTTGTAAATAAGTTCATTTGTATCATTTTTTACATTCCACATATAAATGATATCATGATTTTTGTCTTTCTCTATCTGACTTACTTCACTTAGTATGATAAACTCTAGGTTCATCCATGTTGCTGCAAATAGCTATATTTCCTTTTCTTTTATAGCTGGGTACTATTCTATTGTATGTATATACACACACACACACACACACACACACACACACACACACCACATCTTCTTTATCCATTCATCTGTCCATGGATACATATGTTGCTTACATGCCTTGGCTGTTATAAATAGTGCTGCTGTGAACATTGGGGTGCATGTATCTTTTTGAATTAGAGTTTTCATCTTTTCTGGATATTTGTCCGGGAGTGGGATTGCTGAATCATATGGCAACTCTATTTTTAGCTTTTTAAGGAAGCTTCATACTGTTCTCCATAGTGACTGCACCAGTTTACATTCCTGCCAATGGTGTAGGAGGCTTCCATTTTCTCCACACCCTCTCTAGCACTTATTATTTTGTTGACTTCTTGATGATGGCCATTCTGACTGGTGTGAGGTGATACCTCATTGTAGTTTTGATTTTCATTTCTCTAATAATTAGTGATGTTGAGCATCTTTTCATGTGCCTGCTGGCCATCTGTATGTCTTCTTTGGAGAAATGTCTATTTAGGTCTTCTGCCATTTTTTGATTGGGTTGTTTGTTTTTCTTGACATGAAATTTATTATTATTTTTTTAAGTTTCCTCCAATTTTATTAACTTAAGTACATTAAGTGGACTGTTTTAAGGGGGTTGGTGGAATTTTGGATGTGTTTGTTTTTCAGTATTGCCTAGAAGTTAGTGTTTACTTTTTCAGGTTTTAATGTTAATTCAAATTAAAATTGTCATGCAAAGGACCACTATCAAATGGTTTGACCTAATAGACAGTTATAGAACCCTCCAATCAATAACAGCAGAGTACACATTCTTTGAAAGTGCACAGAGAACATTTACCAAGGTAGACCATATTCTGGGCCATAAAATGAGTCTCAATAAATTTACAGGGATTCAGTTCGTACCAAATATGTTCTCTGTCCACAATGAAATTGAAGTAGAAATCAATAACAGAAAGCTATCTGGAAAATCTCCAAATATTTGGAAGGTTAATCATACACTTTGTGTCAAATAAGAAATCAAAGGGAAATTAGAAAATATTGTCCAGTTAACCCTTGAACAACACAACAATATCAATAAAAACCAAAGGCTGGTTCTCTTAGAAGATCAATAAAATTTATAAACCTTTAGTTTTGTTGGAGAAAAAAGAGAAGATACTAATTAAAAACGTTAGGACTGGGGACTTCCCTGGTGGTCCAGTGGTTAGGATTCTGTGCTCTCACTGCATGGGGCCCGGGTTTGATCCCTGGTCGGGGAACTAAGATCCCACAAGCTGCATGGCCCAGCCAAAAAAAAGGAAAGAAAAAGAAAAACAAATATTAGGACTGATAGAAGTGACATTACTACAGACCCTATAGATATTAAAAGGGTAATAAGGCAATATTATGAACAAGCTTATGCCAGTAAATTTGACAAATTAGATGAAATGGACAAATTCTTTGAAAAACACAAACTACCAAACTTTACTCAAGGAGAAATAGATAATCTGAGTAGCCCTGTGTTTATTAAAGAAATTGAATTGATAGTTAACAACATTTCCACAAAGAAAACTCCAGTCCCAGAAGGAATCACTAGTGAATTCTACCAAACACTTAAAGAAGAAATCATACCAATTCTACTCATCCCTGCCAGGCATTAACAGGGATCTCCCTGCACCCACCCCGTAATGTCAGTGGAGACTAAGTGGGAGCCTGGACTTCCACCCTCACCTGGCAGTCACAAGGTGCCTCTTCCACTTCCTGCTTGAGTGGAGAGACAAAACTTCACCACCACTCCATGGTAATGAGGCCGTGCACCCTGGAGGTTGCTAGAGGCCACATGAGGAGCAGTACCAAGATACCCCTGCCTCTCCCAGCTGAGGTGTTATCAGAGGAAACCTACTAAGGTGCAGAACTCCTACTTACCCAGCAGTAATGAGGAGCCTCTGCCTCCCTTGCGGTCCCCAGTGGGAAACCCAGACATCTGCTCCTACTTTGCAATAACCAGGCAGTACTGCTCCCTCCCTGTTGGAGCAGAGTCAGTGGAAGCCAGCTAAAATGAAGAGTTTAAATAAAATCCAAAGTCTTATAACATAATATCCAAAATATCTAGATTTCAGAAATCAAAAATCAATCATCACATCAAGAACAAGGAAAATGTCAACTTGAATGACAAAGGGCAGTGTAGGAGCACTGATGTGGACATGGCAGGGATATTAGAATTATCTGATGAGGATCTTAAAGAAACCATCATAAAAATGCTTTAACAAGCAATTACAAGCACATTTAGAAAAAAATGAAAAAATAGTCTCAGGAAATAGAAGATATAAAGAAGAACCAAATGGAAATTTCAGAACTGAAAAATGTAATAACCAAAATATTCAGTGGATGGATTCCTGAGCAGAATGGAGGAGACAGAGAAAAGAATCAGTGAACTTGAAGACACCAGTAGAAATGACACTATGTGAAAAACAGACAGAAAAGAGACTGAAAGAAAAATGAACAGAACCTCAGAGACCAATGGGATTATAACAGAATGCCTAATATTTATGTCACCAGCGTTCTGGAATAGTTCTGGAAATAGTTCTGGAAATGTAGAGTGGAGGTGAAAAAGTACTCAGAGAGGTAATGGCTGAAAACTGGCCAAATTTGGCAAAAAGCATAAGCTTACAGATTCAAGTAGCTGAGAAAGTCCACACAGGATAAACCCAAAGAAATTCACACCAAGACACATTATAGCCAAACTTCTGAAAGCTAAAGAAAGAGAAAAAAATTTGAAAGCAGTGAGAAAGAAATGATACCTTACCATTAAGGAAAAAAATATTTTTTTAAAAGAACAACAGATTTCTTATCAAAAACAAAACAAAACAGAGGCCAGAAGGAAGCGGCACAGCATTTTCCAAATGCTGAAATAACTGTTAACCCAAAATTCTATATCCAAAAAAAAATGTCTTTATGGAATGAAGGTGAAATCAAGACATTAGACCTACCTTAGAAGAATGGTTATAGGAATTTCTCTGAAGAGAAAGGAAATGATAAAAGGAAGAGTCTTGGAACGTTAGGAAGGAAGAAAGAACAACTGTAAAAGTAAAACATGGTTAAATACAATAAATATTCCTTTTCCTTTTCCTTTTTCTCAGAGTTTTCAGAGTTGTGAAAAACTCAGTTTTCTGAGTGTGTTTGACGGTTGAAGCAAAAATTATATCACCACTGGGGAAACCTGAGTAAATGGTACAATGGTCTTATTTCTTACAAATGCATGTGAATCTCAAAAAGTTAAACTTTAAAAAATGGGCAAAAAGATTTGACCATTCAAATGGTCGAAGATACATATCTAAGGAGATACACAGATGGCAAAGAAGGACATGAATAAGGGGTGCAAGGTGATCAGTCACTAAGGAGATGAAGATTGAAGCCATAAGGAGTTGCCTCTACACCAACTAGAATGGTTAAGACGTAAAAGGCTTACTCTGACATGTGTTGGGAGTGTGGAGGGGATGGACTTCTCACTCACTGGTTGTGGAAATGGAAGACAGCACAGTCACTGTGGAAACCAGTTTGGCAGTTTCTTAAAAAGTGAAGCAGAGACTTCCCTGGTGGCGCAGTGGTTAAGACTCCATGCTTCCAAAGCAGGGGGCACGGGTTCAATCCCTGGTCAGGGAACTGTATCTCAAATGCACGCCTCACCTAAAGATCCCGCACACCCCAATGAAGATCACACATGCGGCAACGAAGATCCTGTGTGCTGCAACTAAGACCCAGCACAGCCAAATTAGTAAATAAATAATTTTTTTCTTTAAAGCACAAACCTACCATATGTCCCAGCCATCTTACTACTCCTTTTCCTTTTCCAAGAGAAAAAGAAAGCACATGTCCAAAGACTTGTCCACATGTGTTCATAGCAACTTTATTTGAAATAGCCGAAATATAGAAACAGCCCAATAACAAGTGAGTGTATAAAGGAACAGTGGTATATCCATACAGTGGAAAATGACTCAGCAAGAAAAAAGAATGATCTATTGATGCACACAACAGTATGAATGAATCTTGAAATAATTCTACTGAGTGGAAGAAGCCAGACAGAAAAAAGAGCAAAGGCTGCATGATTCCACTGATGAAAATCCCAAAACCTAATTCCTGGTGACATGCAGATCCTTACTTGTCCCCTCTCTCTACGTCTCTGTTTTTGCTGCCCCATCTCGTCTGCATTTAGATGTGCTTGTCTTTCTCCCTGTTAAGGATGCTGTCTCTCAGCCTCACAGCCCCGGCCCTGCTTTTCTCACCCTGCGCTCTCTGGCTTCAGTCCCTCTCCTAACCTCTGCTGCGTCTCAGCTGTTCCCCCTGAGCTTCAGGCCCTTCAGGGGCTGGGGGACGTGTCTGCTTGGCCATCACAAACGCCCTCTCATTGGCCATGCCCAGCGTCGGCCCCTCTTCTGCCTTTCACACCACGTCCTCCTCCTCTCAGCGATGCACCAGCACCCTCTCCATGGCCCAGGCCAGGAACCCAGGTGTCCTTTGGTTTTCACTTCTCACGTCTAGTTTATCACAAGCTCTATTCACTCTTCTTAAATATATTATTCTTGAATAAGTTCATTCATTCCTGAATTCCCAGCATCCAGCACAGTGCTGACAATGTAGGCAATTACTATCTGTTAGTGAACGAAAGGACAGGTATCCTGCAAATGCATCTGATTCCCTGCATTCCAGCCACTTCTGTTTCAAGCTGCCATCCTCTTGCTCCGGAAGGATCCCTACAGCTTCCTAATGGGTTGCTCTTCTCGTCTTGCCAGTCTTTTTCCCGTACTTCAAACAATCACATTGAACTGTGTTAGTCCCCTGCTGAAACCTCCACTGGTTCTCCATTGATCTCAGGCTAAAAAGTGCAGACATTACCCTGGCTTTGAAAGCACTGCATTTTCTCTGGCCCCAGCCTGCCTCTATCCTGACTGTCTGCCATGCTCCCTCTGTGCCGTCTGTCCCGTCACGTGCAGCTTCCCACAGCTGTCCTGCCCTGGCCCACTCCTCCATCCTGTGGGTCTTCACCCTCAGTGTTTCCTCTGCTCCGGGAGCTCCTGCCCTGCCTCCGTGGAGAACGCTTAACCTCTCCTCTGGCTGCAGCTTGGCCATCACTTCCTCTGGACAGCCGCCCTTCCTCCTGTGTGGCATTGTGCACGGAGAGGTACCCTCGCCTGGGTCTTCGCCCAGCCCTGCGCTGGACCATGGGGGCCTCCAGCAGCCTGTGTGCATTGGCACCTGGCGGGCGTCCCGTGAATATTCGAGTGAGGAAAAGACAACAACACGAACAGTGCTACTGACTATAGTAAAAGCACGCTTTATTTCTATCTGACAAGAAGAATGTTTTTTAATGCCATAAATAGGTTTAAATTTGGTGTTATTTAAGGTTTTTCATTTGCTTTGATTTCAGATTGAAGAAGAAATAAAAGGGTGTTTGCAGTTTTTGCAATCCGTTTACTCAACATTTGGCTTCTCCTTTCAATTAAATTTGTCAACAAGACCTGAAAACTTTCTAGGGGAGGTTGAGATATGGGATGAAGCTGAAAAGGTAGGGAGAAACAAAGTGTTACCCTTCATTTTTGTGAGTATGGAAAATACCTTGCATGAGGATGTGATGCTTTGCAATGGAAATTTAAAATTGGAAGTTCTGGGATAAACGTGCCCATTGTAGAATTTTGTTAATCCAGTTTTCTTCAAAACAATGATAAGAGCAGTACCTTATATTTGCTTCACACCTTAGTTTATATCAGGTTTTCATTTATACTCTTTTCAGTGCTGGTCACTAATAACCAATTTCATAAGTTTTTAAAGAAGTTCTCTGGCTCCTTCTTCAGCAGCTCTGGTTTGGCCTCTGCCACTGGAACTGATGTAGGTCCATCAGCTCCTTGGAGCTGGATTAACCTCAAACCTCTCTTGGGGGCTTCCCTAGTGGCGCAGTGTTTAAGAACCCGCCTGCCAATGCAGGGGACATGCGTTCGAGCCCTGATCCGGGAAGATCCCACATGCCACGGAGCAACTAAGCCCATGCACCACAACTACTGAAGCCCACATACCTAGAGCCCATGAGCCACAACTACTGAAGCCCGTGCGCCTAGAGCCCGTGCTCCACAACAAGAGAAGCCACCACAATCAGAAGCCCATGCACCGCAACGAAGAGTAGCCCCCGCTCACCACAGCTAGAGAAAGCCCGTGTGCAGCAACAAAGACCCAGTGAAACAAAAGATAAATAATAAATTAATTAATTTTTTTAAAAAAACCTCTCTTGGGTCCCACTTTCCCAGAGTTGCAGTGAGTCATTAGATCCCTAAGAACATTCCAGCCCCTCCCACATAAGCACAAGCAAACTGATGTGTCCAAAACCCAGCATGTCCCACAGTCTAGACCCTAGTGCTCTTGGGAGCCAGAGACCTGGCATGCGTGGGGCAGGACAGACAGCAGGGAGAAGAGGTGCTGGGCAGTGTCCCCGGGCCAGTCCTGGGAGCAGCGGTTCCAGCACTGCCCAGACGTCCCCTCTCCCCAGACCTCGTGTCAACCGGAAGCTTTCTTGGCCTCGGCCCCTCCCATCAGGCCTTCCTATCCCGGTGTCCCCAAGGAGAGGACAGAGCAGTGGACGCAGTGACCTCTGCTGTATGCTCTTCCCCCAAACCTGGCCTTTCTTTTGCTTTTAATTCCCTGGGAGTCCCTACAATCGCTGTTACCTGCTGTAGCAGGGCCTTGTTTTGTCTGAGAACATGGTTTCACAGTCTCTTCTCCCTTCAGAAACAAAGTCGGGGGAGGGCAGCTCCAGCTTGTGAAGTGCATCTGTGCAGGTGGCCTTCCCAGCCCTGAGCACAAGGGAAGCCTCTGCAGGAGGGTTGGATCCCTGAGGGACCCCCTGGGATCTGGCCAGGAGCAGCTCCTGACCTGCTCTGACTGAGGCCCTGGAGGAGGCTTTCTGGATGATGCTGGCCTGGCCCAAGGCACCACCACTGCTTTCCTTCCCTGTCAGGCGCTTCACTCCCAAATGTCACCCCCCTCACAGCTCCAGTGCGCTGGGGTGATGACAGGAGTCTGGCTGCTGTTCTGACAGTCTTCTGGCCAGGGCCTTAGGGATGCCTGGGTGCTTCCCAAAGAAGCCATTTTCACAGGGAATGGCCAGAAGACTCAAAGAGCCCTATCACTAATACTTGTGTGCACACCCCGTCACCGTCAGTGTGGAGCGGCCTCACTGTGAACTAACTTAGGTGACTTTACGTGGCTTAGTCTGGAGACCAGAGTGGGCCTCACGCTTCCACAGCCTCTGTGTCCCAAGGGGCCCTGCCCACCAGCTGCAGGCACAGAGGTGGGGGAGAAGCAAGAGCAAGTGCAAGGCCTGTCCCCCGGCCTTCTGAACACAGAGTGCACGAGGAACAAGGCCACAGCTTTCTTGCCTTTTATGGTGTGGAGGTGCCTCCTGAAAGGAGCTAGAGAGAGTAGGGCAGAGGGAGCCTGCATGGCGGAAGTGCCCAAAGTACCCCTCTATCACTTATCTGGAATTCAGTGGAACAGTTTAGTAAGTTATCTTTTTTCTCCCCCAATTAAAATGTGTATGTTTCTTGAGAGTAAGTACCATCTTAATTTTCTTTATGTAGACCTTGCTCAGTAGTTTATTGAATGTAAAAGAGGTTCAATAAGTATATGGTGATTAAGTGTAAGTAATGTTCTCTTCTTATTAAAAAAATAGCAACTACAGAATAGCTTGATGGAATTTGGGAAACCATGGAAGATGAACCCGGGAGATGGAGCATTTTATGGTCCTAAAGTAAGTAGACCATATGCTTCAAAAAAAAGTAAAATTTAACAGAAAAATAAAACCTGTCTCTAAGCAAACATCATTTAATTTACAGATTGATATAAAAATCAAGGATGCTATTGGCAGATACCATCAGTGTGCTACAATTCAGCTGGACTTCCAACTGCCTGTAAGATTTAATCTTACATATGTTAGGTGAGTGATTGAATGTGATAAATAATGTAGGACTCATATCTTAATTATTGTCATTTGAGCATTAGCAGTATAGAAACAAGCGTCAGTGAATGTCTGTCTGTGTGCAAGATACTCAGTATGTATTTGTTTACCTGGGCTTGTAATCTAGTTGGAGGTCAGCTTTAGTTTTCTGGTTAGAGCTATGAACAAAGGATGTGGAAACATGACCCAAACAGAGAAATCTCCCTGAGGCAGAGGGGGAGACTTCATAAAGGGCTGACCCTGGGTCTGTGTCTTAAGGATGGTATTTACCAGGGAAAGCAGAGGAAAAAAGGCAGTTTCATCACTGCAAACCAACAACTCCTTTAAAAATTTTTTTCTTAACTCACAGTAAAGTTGACTTTGTGTGTATATGTGTGTATGTGTACAGTTCTATAAGTTTTAAACATCGTATAGAGTGGTGTGCCCACCACCACGATTGTGGTTCCATCAGGCAAGCAAACTCCTGTGCTGTTCCTTTACAGTCACACTCTCCTCCCACCCCAGCCCTGGGCAGCCACTGACCTCCTCTCCATCACTTTCCCAGAATGCCACAGAAGTGGAATCATACTGTATATCACCTTTTGAGGGTGGCTCATCCTGTCAAGGGTGTGCATGGAATCAATGTGACTTGTCACCAGTGATGTAACCTCCATCACTTGGTTAAAAAAAAGTTTGCCAGATTTCCCCACTGCAGTTACTGTTATTCCCTTTCCATAATGTTGTTTGGAATTGAGATTTTCCTGGTGATGAATATGCTGAGTAGGTTTGACTTGCATCCCAGACATTGTTAATATTATATTGTGAGATGCTGGGTCTTGTTTAAATCCTAAGGGGATTGTTGACTTTTTAGCAGTCATTCTGCCTGGGCAGGTTCAGGCTGTAATTTCTAACCCGCCTTCTGTGGTTCCAACGTCAGCTCAGTTTTCTGAGCTTATACAGTCGGCCCTCTGTATCCATATCTGTATCTGTATCTCTGAAGCCCATGGATATGGAGGGCCGACTGGGCACACTGTACCAGCCATCGTATATAAGGGATATGAGCATCTGTGGATCTCGGCCTCAGCGAGGCCTTCTGTCCTGTGTGCACCACCCAGGGGCGAAGTCCCACAGTCCAATTCTCAAGGCTTTTATGTGCTGTTACGGTCAGATCCAAGCATGTGCGATGAGAGGTGAGGCCAGCGAGCTCATACACCCCTTTATGGGGCAGCTCTTCTGCGCCCCCTGCTCTCTGTATTTCCCTGACACTTTGATTCCCTGAAGTCCCTTTCTGTAGTCCTGTTGCCAGAACGCTGGGCTTTAGCTTCCCTGCTCCGCATGCTGTTTCCAGGGCTATCTGTGTCAGAGACCAGGCATCAGGAGGCCAGCCAGAGAGAGAGAGCACAGGGATTCACGTACGCTTGGGATCACAGCTGTTCGGGTCAGAGAGAAGGATCCCCTTCCTTGGAGTTTTAGGTGCCTGTTTAGTCTCTGTGCCACTGTGGGAATGCTGGGGGCTGGAGGAAGAGAGGAGAAAAAAGAAACAGAAGAAAACTCCAGGACGTCCCCCACCCCCACTTTTTCTGAAACTTAGCAGTTATTTTCTGGCTCTTGGCCAGAAAGTGAGGATTTCTCTTGAAGCTTTTCCTGTCAGTACCTGGTATGTATTCTTGCTTGTCGGCTGTCTTTGAGTCCAGGCCACACAAACTGGAAGACAAAATTACAAAAAACTAAGTGCAGTTTGGTGGCACTTCAGATTCTGGTCTTCTCGGCAATCCCCTGGCACTAGTCACTCCTCCCAGCCCTCGGGTGGCTGTTCTTCATGTTCTCTCCAGGGTCCACGTCTGCGTTCAGAGAGAGAGTCAGGTGTGGTATGCTTACTTCATTCTGCCTGGAAGCAGCTTCTTTTTAAAGACCATTCCACTGACTCGAATTAGACAAAAATCACAACATCATTTCTTTAAACTCTCCCCTTCTCACCATGTCCTGTTTTAGAGATGTGGTGTTGATTAGATAATGTGTTGAGATCTCTTTCACTCAAGATTATTAATTTAAAAAGTTAATTTAAAAAGGAAAAATTATTGGCATATTTTAAGTCTAATAATTTTTAATAGAATATTTTCCTAATAAGATTCTTATAATAAATGAACAACCACCAATTTCCCAGAGTGTAGGATTTTATGCAGTGATCTCAATTTATGTTCAACCAACAAAAATTTTATTTCGGATTCTCCAACTTGTGTTTTGATTAATGGTTATAGAGCTACACTGAGAGTTACATCCTGTGAGAAGGTAAAGAGCTGAAGAATAGTTGAAGTGTTCATACAGGGAGTTACATCAGGACATGAGAATAATAAAAATTCTCAAAAGTTAAAGGGGAAAGCACAGAACTTTCAAGAATAAATTCAGGCCTTTTGGAAAAGATGGTGTCTTAAGTTCATATCTGCAAAATCATCTTTCCCCAGTAACCTACCAAAATGAATAAAAAGAATTAGGGGTAGGGGGACTTTATGCAAAAATAACCCAACTAGTGCAACAAAATTTGAACACTACTAGCCATCCAAGGGGGATGTGGAGAAGCAGTAGATCAGGCAAGCCATCCACACATCCATCCATCTACCCATCCACCCATCCAACCATCCACCCATCCATCCATCCACCCATCCACCCATCCATCCATCCATCGTCCTAGGTGTTGTGTGGACAGTGGGGACTGGAAAGCAGAAGTGGAAGCAGTGGTCTGTAGGCCAGGTAAGAGATGATGACAGAACATGGTGGCAGTGATACAGAGATGAGAAAAGTGGAGGTATTTGGGGTATATTTTGGAGGTGGAACCAATGCGATCTGTTTGTGGCTTAGATATGAGGGGAGAAGAGGGAGGAGCAGCGAGGTCATCACCTTGATCAAGTAAGTTTTTTACCCAAGAAAGCAGGGGTGGTTTTGGACTTCCCTGGTGGTCCAGTGCTTAAGACTCCACACTCCCAATGCAGGGGGCCTGGGTTTGATCCCTGGTCAGGGAACTAGATCCCGCATGCTGCAACTAAAGATTCCACATGCCGCCAGGAAGATCCCGCACACAGCAACCTCAGCTAAGGCCTAGGTGCAGCCAAATAAATAAATAAATAAATATTTAAAAAAAAAAAAGCAGGGGTAGTTTAACATTACGAAGCATATTGTCACCCATTACCTTCAACAGCGCTGAAAGGCATTGGATAAAATGTGACATTCATTCCTGTGAGAGGAACAGAAATAAATTGTCCTGTAATGGTAAGGAGTATTTATTAGAAAACAACAATAACATCTCTACTTAGTTGAGAAGAAGGTGACTAGCCTATTTGTACTCTTACAATTGTTCTGGGATATGTAGACATATTGAAATAAAGAGTCAAATTTTCATTGTATGTAGATGCTAAGATGTCTAGAAATCCAATAGAATCAGATGGAGAAAAATTAAAACTGATAATAAAGTAAGGTACCTAGCAATAAGGTCAAAATGCAAACATCAATTTGCTTTCATATATATTAGCGACAGTGTACTAAAAAGTGCAATGGAAAAAAAATTTCAGAAACAGTAACAACAATAACAAAAACCAAGCAAAGGGGCTTCCCCAGTGGTGCAGTGATTAAGAATCCGCCTGCCAATGCAGGGGACACCAGTTCGAGCCCTGGCCCGGGAAGATCCCACATGCAGCGAAGCAACTAATCCTGTGTGCCACAACTATTGAGCCTGTGTGCCACAACTACTGAAGCCCACGTGCCTAGAGCCTGTGCTCCGCAATAAGAGAAGCCACCACAATGAGAAGCCTGCGCACCTCAATGAAGAGTAGCCCCTGCTCGCCACAACTAGAGAAAGCCCACGCACAGCAATGAAGACCCAACACAGCCAAAAATAAATAAATAAATTAAAAAAAAAAAAAACCAAGCAAAATATCTAGGAATAAACTTAACAAGGAACATAAATATATAATGTTTATTTGAAATATATACCATAAAACTTTATCAAAGGCAAAAAAAAAACCAGTTGTTTAAATGAAGATTCACACCACTGTTGGACTGGGAAGAATCAATATTGTGAAGATACGAATTCTCTTCAAATGTATCTGTAAATCTAATGTAATTCCAACTAAATCCACGAGGATTGTTTGTGGAACTTGTCATTAATTCTAATGTTTACCTGAAAGTATAGATGTGTAAGCATAGATTAGGTCACTCTTTGCCCTTTTTAAGACTAGACCTGATTTTAATTCTTTTAAAATAAATGATGGGACAGAAATTTCTGGTACCCAGGGGCCTGTGAAAGGATCATGCTGCTTCTCTTTCATTCCCTACACAGGCAACATTATGCGACATTCAGGAACATACCATGCTGTTTCCAGTTTGTAGAATGAATTATTTCTGCATATATCTGAGCAGGACTGGACTCAGGCCCCCCCAGCCCCACCCCAAAGCTTCTGTAGGATCTGACAGAGGATTTGGCCTGCAGTCAGTCTGCCGTGGCTCTTAGCAGAAATGATTGGCAATGACGATGTCCAATGAAAACTCTTTTGAAGTGAGTTTAATGAATGAGTCTCTGTTTTTGTCTGTTTGCCCTGTGTGTATATGTGTTTTAGTAGTGACTAGCTGGTACAACGTTTAGATAAAAATTTGTCCTAAGAACTTCGTAAGCATCACATATTATTACATTTGTTGCAGTAATGTGAAATTTATCTTTCTGGGAAAAGTGTGCACAGATCTTGGAGTGCCTGACTTTATTACAATTAACAGTTGTAATTTGCTTTTTACATCTTTTTCTGAAAGGGAGGAGAGAATTCTCAAATGTAAGGAGAATGTCATGAAGGTTTCAGGTCTGTAAATGGAATTTGACCAGTGGACTTCTGGAACAAGTATCAGGAGCATTTTGAAATATATCAGTAGTATGGGGGCGTAGTGTTTACAATATGGCAGTGTGTTTACAGTGGATGGTGTCAGGAATGGGTGCATTTGGACCAAACCAGGTTGGCTGTGAGTTGACATTTGCTGATGCTGAGAAAGGGTTATGTGGGAGTTCATTATACTATTCTCTCTGCTTTTGTATATGTTTTCAATATTTTCTAATAACTACTAACTAACTAACTAAGGTTGGTAAATTTTTTGCCAGCCACCGTGGTCATACCATTAACCCAAACTAATAGAATACCAACATATTCTATTACAGACTCCAGAAACCCACTTTCTTTACTTTTGCAATGTCTTTGATAATTGTTCAATAAATTAGTGGTGAAGTAAGCCATAGTTCAAAATAAAGTTAATTTAAAAAATATGATTTGTAAGATTGCCTCTCAATATGAGTAAACTGGTAGTTTCGAATAAAGCTGGTAGTTTAGAATAATCAGTAGATTTGTAACAGAGATAGTGATCTAATGTTACATTGCTTTTTCCTAGATGATATATTTTACTTCCCTTTGGTTTATAAAAGATACCATAGGGCTTCCCTGGTGGTGCAGTGGTTAAGAATACACCTGCCAATGCAGGGGACACGGGTACAAGCCCTGGTCTGGGAAGATCCCACATGCTGCGGAGCAACTAAGGCTGTGCGCCACAACTACTGAAGCCTGCGCGCCTAGAGCTTATGCTCCGCAACAAGAGAAGCCACCACAATGAGAAGCCCGTGCACTGCAACGAAGAGTAGTCCCCGCTCGCTGCAACTAGAGAAAGCCCACATGCAGCAACAAAGACCTAATGCAGCCAAAAATAAATAAATTTTAAAAATAATAAATTATTAAAAAAATAAGAAACATAATGCAAATAAAAGATAAAAGATAAAAAAAATAAAAAGATAAAAGATCTTTAAAAAAATAAAAGATAAAAGATATCATAATTTGAAAGAAAAAAACCCTTTATTTCTAATTAATGGCACATTTATGTTTAAAGATAATTTATGAGTAGTCTATTGTTTTACCTAGTTTGGGAAAATACCTTTTAAATATAAGGTAAGAAGATAAAGTTATTTATGAATCTTAAGAGAATAATTAAATGTATAATTTTCATTTTTTTAGTAAGGATGGGGATGATAAGAAGAACCCTGTGATCATTCATCGAGCCATTTTGGGGTCAGTGGAAAGAATGATAGCCATTCTCTCAGAAAACTATGGAGGAAAATGGTAAGTGATATGGAAAAGAAAAGCTATATGTCTACTGTTCTTAAAAATCATGTCTAAAAGATGAAATTAATATGAAAAAATTGGTGGCTTTTGCCTTATAATTAGCAAGTATCCAAACAGCAAATAAAAATTTTTGTGGCATCTGCCAGACCAGAAAACAAAACAAAGAAAACAGAGGCAGCGTGGCATAACACTATCATTTACCTTTTTGGGATCTCAGTAAAATTAAAGAGTAACCTTTTCACCTGTGTCAAACAAACCCCTCAAAGATCTAGCCGCTGGAACATATATGGCCCACACTCTCAGGGCACCATCTCTAGCTGTACTGCCCTCCTTCCTTCTGCTATGCTGTTGACCTCACAGCCCTGTGACCACTGACTTAGGAGGAAACATGTAAGCCTGGTTCACACATGGCCCCAAAGCCAAAGAGAACCGCTGCAGTGGCATCCCCCTCCAGGGATGGAGGGGGAAGGTGAATGCCCTAAGTGCAGGCTTTTGAGTGGTAAGTCTGGTCACCCTCTGTGCCTGGAGGGAAAAGTGTCCAGATGTGGGTTACATTGATGCGTGGGATCTGGTTATTGCTTTGGCCACAGGGTCAGAGACATAAGAGATACTTAGGTTGGAAACCAGATGACAAGTACATTTGGTATGTGGATGGTTGCTCAGAATGGGCCATGGGGATGGTATTGCCCGAGTCTGTGTCTGTCCCTTAGATTTTATTTGCAATCCTAGAGAAATATACTGAGGTGTCATGGGGGTGTCCAATCTATTACAGGTACAGAGAATCCAAAACCATAGATATGAATATGTGTGTGTGTGAATTAACATGTTTATATTTCTCTCCAGTTGATTCTGTTGTAAATAGTTAACATAGTGAGAGATGGTGGGTCTTGCAAGAGAGCAGTAGAACTAGGGGATCAGGAGATGGTTTGGGCACACCTCCCTGTGGAGACGCAGTACCACCCTCCACAGTTTACACAGCAAGCCTTTGGACACCTACCAAGTTGTGGTGGAAATCTCCCTGAGAAATAAAAGTAGAAATGTTTAAAATGTGGCTCTCTTGAGTTGGTAGGGCTGAAGCAGGGGTGAGAACAGAGCTCAAAAAGATACATTTACTTTTCATTTTATAATCTGTATTTCATCATGTATATAATTACATTTGTCACATGTATTATTTTGTTTTTGTAATTTAAGAATAAGTATGTAAAAACATGTATGCACAAAGTGCCATCTGGTAATAGTCCCCATGCATTTCCTTCCACCTTCAAACTAAATATGCTGAAGAAAAAGGCAAACATTTCCCACATCAAACATTGCTTATACCCACCTTTCCATCTTTTAAAACATTTTCATTTTGAGATAACTGTAGAATCATTTACAAAGAGGTCCAGCATACCTTTTACCAGTTTTCCCCAATGGTAACATCTTGCAGAACTGTATACAACATAACTGGGGAGTGACAATCCACCAACCTCATTCAGGTCTTGCATTTGTGCACATGTGTAGATTTGTGTACCCGCCAGCCAAGGTACAGGACAGTTCCATTACTTATAAGGATCCCTCATGCTGCCGTTTATTTTATGGCCACACACCTCCTACCCCATCCCTGTCACCATCCTCCAGCAGCCACTCATCTGGGCTCCATCTTTATAATTTTGTCATTTCCATAATGTTACATAAATGGAATCACAGCGTGCAGCCGTTGGAGACTGACTTTTTTCACTCCTTGGATGGAGTTGCCTTGAGATGCATCCGAGGCATCTCAAGTACCAGTCGTTGGCTCCCTTTCACTACTGATGGTGTTCTGTAGTGAGATGCACAGTTTGAGCATTCACTGGCTGAAAGGCATTTCGGATATTTCCAGTTTGGGGCTATTATACATAAAGCTGCTATAAATGTTAGTGTGCAGGTCCTTGTGTGAACATGTTTCCATTTCTCTGGGATAAATACCCAGGAGAGCGGTTGCTGGGTCGCATGGTCAGTGATGTTTAGCCCTTTCATCTAGCTGCCAACCTGTTTTCCCTCCCTTTCCAATCAAAATGCCCAGTTTCCCCTTTTGTCTCCTTTATTGCCTTTTTTTTTTTTTTTTTGCGGTACGCGGGCCTCTCACTGTCGTGGCCTCTCCCGTTGCGGAGCACAGGCTCCGGACGCGCAGGCTCAGCGGCCATGGCTCACGGGCCCAGCCGCTCCGCGGCATGTGGAATCTTCCTGGACCGGGGCACGAACCCACATCCCCTGCATCGGCAGGTGGACTCTCAACCACTGCGCCACCAGGGAAGCCCCTATTGCCTTTTAATATAGTTTGCTTTATTTCCACACCCCTCTACTGAACCTGCTCTCTTGTGAAGTCTTACTTAAAAAGAAAAAAGAGTCTTTGGTTGTTTTTTAATCTTGTAATAAATGGTCATTTTAAAAATACGTATTATATTTTTCAGGCCTTTCTGGCTGTCTCCTCGTCAGGTAATGGTCATCCCTGTGGAGCCAACTTGTGAAAAATATGCACTTCAGGTAAAATTAGAGACATTTATAGTACATAATCTTGGCATGTGGTCTGTGAACGTCATTGACTTGGAATGTTATTCGCACCTTAAAATATTGCATAACTAATACATTAATTTACCACCCCACGTTTTCAGTAAATGTTTTCAGTAACACCTCAGTCGTGTCTATGTAGCTGTATCAGAACTATTTTATTTCTTAATGTTTTTGAGAAATTGGTGTTTTAAAACATCTCATAGTTATTCTTTTCCTCGTGGCTCTATTAGGAAGAATACTTACATTATCTGTTGCTGTGTAACAAATTACCCCAAAACTTGGCAGCTTAGAACAACAAGCATTTATTATCTCAGTTTCTGCGAGTCAGAATCTGGGACAACTTGGCTGGGGATTCTGGCTCAGGTGCCTGGTGAGGCTTCTCAGAGGTCGAGGCAGGGGGAGTGACTCAGCCCTTTAACCTCATCTCAGAAGTGGGGTGCCATCACTCTCCCTCCACTGTGGTCACAGAGACCAACCTGGTACAAGGTGGAGGGGACACACAAGAGTGTGAATACCAGGGGGTGGGACCCTGGGGGTCATCTTGGAGGCTGGCCACCGCATTACCATACACAATGTATTAATGAAAGTGTCTCATTCTCTTATAGGTATCCACTGAATTTTTTGAAGAAGGATTCATGGCTGATGTTGACTTAGATCATAGTTGTACACTAAATAAGAAAATACAAAATGCACAGCTGGATCAGTATAATTTTATTTTGGGTAATCTAAATTTGTATATATTTTTCCCAAATGCTTGTGTTTTCACCTTAATTCCAAAAAAACCCAAAAAACAAAATAAAGAATATGGTATAACTTCTTGATTATGACAAATAGCTGTTGAATACTTATACACAAAGAAGAGTCTGTGATGTTCCTGGCTAGATACTTTTTGTTATTTGCCAGAAAAGAAGAGTTATGAAGTTTCACATGGATCCTGTGGTGTAGTATTACTAGGAAGAATTAATAACTCAAACTGACAGTGGAAAATGATCTTATCAGTAGAATTATACTCTGTATGTTTCAGTCATGTGATAGGCCTGAAATAATCTCCTTTGCTTTTCTGGTTTATTAGAAATCTTTAGGATTAAACTAATGACTAGGAGATGTTCCAAATTTAAGATGATCAAAAGAAAAGAAGTGAAAAAATAAAACGTCCTTAAGGAACATGAGTAATTAGATACAGAATCTAAAATTTTGACTGTAAAAATGATTCAAAATCAAGGGAAACTTATTTATATGCCTGCAGGCATGATATGGTTATCTGCTATAAGTTGAAAGTTTCTGTAGAAGGCAAAATAAATATGCACAGGGCTGTCCTATGAGCAATCTGTCATCAAAAGTGTTTGTTGTAGGTACTGTGATGCTTCAGTCAGCCTTCTTGTGGTGACAGAAATTTCAAATTCGCTTAGACACGATGGAATGTACTGGAAGGGAGTTAGAGTATCTCGTGCCATGGAAGGTAGAATTAAGTAGCCAAATCATTAGAAAAGTAACTGGAAGGGGAACTCAACCCTTACCAGGACCATTTCTCCCCATTTCTGTTCCCTGTTTTGATCTGCTTCTTTATGCTTCTCTTGATCTACTTTATTCCCCTTACTTGCTGGCCAGTATCTTTCTTCCAGACAGCAAGAAACATGGCGGCAGAATTCTGCATCATCTCACAATATGGGTCATTAGCAAGAACAAACCTTTTACATATATTCCAGAAAATTCTGTTGGCTGGTTGGACACGTGTCTGGTGCCTGCCTCTTGATTCATCAAGTGAGACAGGTGGAGTCAGGGGGTCTTTAGGAGCTCCCTCCTCCCACCTGTACTCCACGACCACCACAGGTGTTCTTGAAAACGGACAATAGAGAGATGGGATTAGAAGTCATTCCTTGTCTCAAGAAATTTACTCTTAGAGGATGACCAAATGGGCATTAGATTGATATTTGGTGATTAGTACTAAGAAGAAAACTTAATAAGACACATGCCATATGACTGCTGACTTAATATTTAGTAAATTGTTGATTGAAAATATATTTCCCTTCGTTTTCTACAGTGGTTGGAGAAAAGGAAAAGACAAATAATGCCGTAAATGTTCGAACAAGAGACAACAAAATTCATGGAGAGATTTCAGTAACTTCTGCCATTGATAAATTGAAGAATCTCAAGAAATCACGTACCCTGAATGCTGAGGAAGAATTCTGAAGTCCTTTCCTTGTGCTCACATCTGTGTAACCTTGTTCTGAACCCTGAACATGCATTTTCCTTAATTACCATTCCTACTTCTGAGAACTTAGGACCCACTGTCTGGTCCACTGATGGGCACAGTGAGAAGTGAGACAGGGAATGAGTGGCTGATATGCACAAAATCTGATTCACTAATGTGTCTGCGGACAATGAGAGGACAAGTGTGGGAAATTTTAAATTTCCCAAATATCTTGAGAGACTTCAATGGGAAAATGTCGTTCATCAAAGAGGGAAATACTAGGAAATGAGCATTATGAGATGTTACTGTTAAGAATTCTGACTTTCAAAAGAAGTTTCAAATAAAAGTCTGCAAAGCTTTTTGAATATGGGGTGATATCTTATTTTCTAAAAACATTATGTCTCAGGTATTTTTTAACTGAAGTTTTACTAAAGATCGCACTGAAACTTTATTTTTCTTATTTTTGGCTACACCCCACAGCATGTGGAACTTCCCTGACCAGGGATCGAACCCATGCCCCCTGAAGTGGAAACGTAGAGTCTTAACCTCTGGACCACAAGGGAGGTCCTGAAACTTTATTTTCAAAATTGGAATCAATTTGTTTTAACTAACCAACAATCACAAAAGAAGAAGCTAGTACTAAATATTGGATTACTAACAAAGGATTCTGAACTCAAAGAGATTCAGTGTTGTGCAATCTTCTGTAGTTTCCACTATAGGATGAGTTGCCATTTTAATGCCTCTAAATGACAACTGAACCTTATTTATCTTTAGAAAAAATAAACTCTCAAATAAAATGGGTTATGTAGTGCTTCCAGGGTTTCACCTATAGGTTTATACCATAATAATGTGCTCCCCTAGAGTTAAATTACTCTTCTGATGGGATGACATTCCACTGATTTACAGACTCAAGTGGATTTCTGATTTTAACTGAGAGGAATACCTTACTGCTCAGAACTGAATTAAAATGGCTTTATGTCAGTAGTGAATTTAGCTAGCAATCAAGCAGTATTTTTTGTTTATTTGGTTATGTGCTGTGGAATTCAAAATAAATTTAAGACCTGCTCTCTCTTCTGTACACACATCATTTAGCTTCCTGAAGAGTTGGAAGACAAACCAGTAGAGCTGACCGTGAACAACAGGATTGAAGTGCACGGGTCCACTTACCCGTGGGTTTTTTTCAATAGCAAATACTAGAGTATACATAATCCTACCCGCAGTTGGTGGAATCTAAGGAGGTGGAGTCACCGATAGGGAAGAACCGAATGAGGAGGGCCCGCTCTAAGTTACACTGTACCCCTCACCCCAAAGTTGTTCAAGGGTCAGGCCTGTGTGATGCTGGAAGGTGCAGATTGTGTGATGTACCTGTTTAAGCTAACTTTAATTGAGGCCAAGCACTATTCGATACATTCCTTGAATTCACCAAACGTGCTAGTGAGGCAGGGGGCGTCAGAAAACTCCCCATCCCCACCCCAGACAACCTTGTGTTGGGTGGGCGGGGAGAGGGAAGCCCGTGCGCAGCCCAGCACGAAAGTTGCTACGGTGGGAACAGGTGCGGAGGGAACAGGTGCGGATCGCTGTGCCGGCCGCAGGGAGCCGCGCCCTGGGAGCAGCTCCCTTCCGGGGCGGGCCTCCTCCAGGGGGGTCTGGGGGCCTGACACCCGCGGCCGCACTTCAGTCCGGCCTCTCCCCGCCTTCGAGGAGCCTCTCTGAGGACTGGTTAGACATCCGGGCAGGGCGGGCCTGGAGAGATGCTCGCGGGACGCTGCCCGGGCCCTGGGGTCGCGGGGAGTGGGTCCTTGGGGGCCACCTGGCACACCTGGGGTCCTTACCGAGCAGTCTGGGCCAGTTTCCTCATCTGTAAACAAGAGGCTTTTTAGTCTGACAAAAACGTAACGTCGTCAAACCTCCGCACGGTACCAAGCGCACAGCAGCAGTTTTTGTCTCTAAACGTACAGATCCGGCCACAGGTAAACAGCGGCCAACTTCCCACATTTCCCCGCCTCTGCTCTCGATCCCTCAGGTGTGACTTTCGGGGTCCAGGTGACCTTTCCGTGTCTCCAGCCGCCGGGGTAGAGGTGAACGCCTTGTCACAGGCGCTGGCAGCGCTCAGGCACCTGGCAGCCCTAGGAGGCGGGGCGCGGGGAACTCGGGAGGAGGGACCGCGCCTGCGCCGTGGCCCCCCCGGACCCGCCCCCCCGCCCCCCTCGGCCCGGCGTCCCCCGCGGCCCGGAAGTGCTTCCGCTGGCAAGATGGCGGTTGCAGGGTTCCTGCTGTGGGAGCTACGCCGCCTGTGTCGAGTGCTGCTGTTCCTCTCGCAGTTCTACATCCTCTCGGGCGGCGGTGAGTTGGGGGCAGGGGTCTGCGCCGGCCAGGGCTGAGGGGTGGGGAACTCAGGACCGCGGGGACAGTCGGCCTGGGCCCTTGGGCCGAGGCTGAGTGCGGGCGGAGGGCGCGGGTTGCTTCAGCCGAGTCCGGCGCGTCCTGCCGCCGCCCCTCGGCTCAGGGAGCCGGATCCGCGAGCCTCGAACTGTGGGCCTGGGGGCTCGGCTGGGGACGCGGAACTGGGTCTCGGCACCGCGCGTCGTCTCCAGTTGCCCGCAGACCTAAATTGGTGTCGACCCCGTTGGGTTTCATGTTCAGTTTCCCGGCGGTCAGGCCGAGATGTGTGCCCGAGCAGCTGTGGGCCTGGCGCAATACACACACAGCCTGAGGTCTTCGTTTCTCTAATCATAGGGTCCTTCAGTGTAGAGCCTTCGCAGCCGCTGGCTCAGTCCGACAAGGATCCGGGCCCCACACGTACGTTCACAGTAGTGCCCAGGGCAGCAGGTACTAGACATTTTCTCTTCTAGTAAACGTGTATATTTGTATCTAGTGGTCTCTTCCTTTTCTTTTTGGATAAAATTTCTTGTAGAATATGAAATCACTTTCCATGTTTTGAACATTTTATTGATTGCATTTTAGATTATGTGAACTAAAGGCAGATGCATACCTTTTCTGTAGACAGTCTTGGTATTTCAATACCTTCTGACATTCCTGTCTCTTTTTCCAGTCCCAGGCTCCCCATTTCCATCTCTTTATTTCAAGTTTTTTCTTTTTCCACTTCATCCATCAAGACAACCTTCAACCAACGCTTTCCCTTCAAAAAATTTCTTGTGCTTTTGGAACCCTGTTCCTGATGTTGGATATTATTAAAGGCTCCCCCAGGGCTGTGTGAAATGGAGGGATTGCAGAAGGACTGGTACAGACCTTGCTTCTATCTCTGGTGGTGCTGCTGGGAGGTGGAGCAAAATATTCACCTTATTGGGTTTCGGTTTTCTCATCTTTTTAAGGTGGTGGGGTTGTCCTGGCCCTGTAAACTCTTGGCTTTGTGATTCTAAGTGCCCATCCTCCAGCCACAGTAGTAATAGGAACAAAAGAAAAGAAAATTTTCTTTTCTTTTGTTCCTATTACAAAAGGGTATAATAGGAATTATACCCTTTTGTAAGTATACCCTTTTGTAGGTATTTTGTAGAATTGCCCACTTAATAGTGACTTTAAGTAGGACCAGTTTTAAATGAGTATTAGTGTGTTTTGCTAAATGGAACTTTGGTCTCTCTAGTTTCATCCCTTTAGAGTTCCATTACTTCGGTAAATTGAAACTGACAGACGTATTTTACTGATTCTATAAAAGACTACTAGAAGACAGCAGCATACTTGAGTTTAAAACATATATTCTTTTGTAGAGAAAGCACAAGAATTTTTTACTCTCTTGGACGTTTTTGAATGCTTCTCTTCCTGAGAATACTGGTTGCAATTTTGATCCTCTCTTAAGTGATAGTAATATATTATACTCCCAGCTAGGCTGGCTGGAGAAACTTACTGCAACCCACTGAATATGTTAATAATATAAAGAACTATTTTGAACTTTGTCACTGTAAAATTGTAAATGTTACTTGCAGATGGTGGCTTGTTGAAGTACCAAAGTGGAATAATGACAGGACGTTTTTCTAGGGTTGGTACCTTGTTGTACCGATTGATTCACTTAGAGGGTTAGGGGCTTCACTTACAAATTCGTGAATTCAAGTGAAAAGAACATTGGATTGGAAACTGAGAGGTTTGGGCTCTGCTTCCAGTTTTGCCCTCCCTCTGTGATCTTGAACGAACTTTATCATCTGTAAGCCTTCGTTTTTTTCATCTTGTAACATGATAGACTTTTTGAGGTCCTAATTTATTCCTAGCACTGTATATATGTTATGTTCATGATTGTGTTCCTTAAGCTTAGAAAATTGCTTTCCTCTGTTATTGTAATCAGTATTCCAAGAGAATAAGCTTCTCTCTCACCTCTCACAGAAAGCACCGATATCCCACCTTATATGATGAAGTGTCCGAGCAATGGTTTGTGTAGCAGGCTTCCTGCAGACTGTATAGAGTGCAAGACCAATTTCTCCTGTGTCTATGGGAAGCCTGTCACTTTTGACTGCACAGTCAAACCTTCTGTTACCTGTGTTGTAAGTACTACAGCTTACTTATTCTTAATAAACTGATCATAAAGCTCGAGTTATAAGTAGAGTTTAGACTTGACTTTGGAGGAAATTCAGAAAGTGCTCTGCTTTTTAAAAGTAAGATTTGAGGGGCTTCCCTGGTGGTGCAAGTGATTGAGAGTCCGCCTGCCGATGCAGGGGACACGGGTTCGTGCCCTGGTCTGGGAAGATCCCACATGCTGCGGAGCGGCTAAGCCCGTGAACCATGGCCGCTGAGCCTGCACGTCCAGAGCCTGTGCTCCACAACAGGAGAGGCCACAACAGTGAGAGGCCCGTGTACCACAAAAAAAAAAAAAAAGTAAGATTTGAGGAATAAAGTCAACTTTATCAGAAGATGGAAACTTCCATCTCCAAGTAAGGTTTGGTTGCAAGGGTTCAGATAGCAATTTTTTGACATAAGGATAAATTGAAGCAATTGTCAGACTTCTTACAAAAAGTAGGAAATAAAAAAGGCTCAAACGCACCAACTGTTGCCCATTAGAAATGACCCTGTTACAGTGGTCACACCTGCAGTCCATCTCTGATATGTTGACAGCCAGGAAGGAGCCTACAAAGGCTTCCACAGTCAGTGTTCCTTAGTGTGCTCTCGGGATATCTACTTCAGAGCCACAGACTCCTGGAGGCAGCCCCACACGTGTTGAATGTGACGAGGGCAGGGAGACTCGTGTATCTGCATTTTTGAACCGTTGGACCAGGGAAATTACTGCAAACTTCATTGTAGTCCCAGCATGTGGGTGAGATAGAGAGTAGAAATGAATAATGAGGCAGTGTTTTACTCTTGGACCTGCCATGACTAGCTCTGTGATTTAATCATCTGTCTCTTGTTAAGTCAGGAGATGGGCCCAGAACAGCTTTCCTGTAGTGTTTCCATGGCGCCCTCTTTCTGGGAGATGGTCAAGGAGGAAAACACAGATTCCATACCATATTCTCTATCTCTGTCTTTTTTCTTTTTTTTTAAGGGAAGCAGTAGGAAGTAAGATTTTTCTTTTAATTAATTTATTAATTTATTTATCTTTGGCTGCATTGGGTCTTCATTGCTGCACACAGAGTTTCTCTAGTTGCGGTGATTGGAGGCTACTCTCGTTGCGATGTGCAGGCTTCTCCTTGCGGTGGCTTCTCTTGTTGCGGAGCACGGGCTCTAGGTGCTCAGGCTTCGGTAGTTGTGGTGCATAGGCTTCAGTAGTTGTGGCTCGTGGGCTCTAGAGTGCAGGCTCAGTAGTTGTGGCACATGGGTTTAGTTGCTCCACGGCATGTGGGATCTTCCCGGACCAGGGCTTGAACCCCTGTCCCCTGCATTGGCAGGCGGATTCTTAACCACTGCGCCACCAGGGAAGCCCACCATATTCTCTTTTGCAGATTCCTTTTGAACCAGCGATTCTAACTTACTTGAACAAGATACCTTTCCCCATCGGTTCTTTGGAACTTGGTCTGCAGAGGGGTAGATTAGAAAGTTCCTTCCACCCTCAGGCTCTTTCTCTATTTCTCCTGAGGTCTAGTATCAGGAGAGGGCATGAGGGAGGCTTCACTCCAAAGGGGAAATGAGATTTTATGTGTTCTCAGTGTCTGGACCTAGTGTTTGTAACTGTCAGTATTTGTCACTTTCTTGTATCAGAGTTACCCTTTAAAGTGTGCTGGAAAATTGAACTAGTTGCCGGGTAATCTTCATGACTGCCCTTGGATTATCAGTTAGTCTCTTCTGCTGTATCTTACATAGAATTTTCTCCCTACTTACCTAATGGTGAAACCTGTTTGAAGGCTTTTGAAATTGCGTACTTCATGGGTCTGGCAGATAGTAGGTACCTTGTGAAAAATGAGAAAACTGACGGCTGAGGAGAGCTTTTCCAGAATTAGCCTCTGTTGTTTGCCTCAGTGTCTTTGACATTCATCTCTCACAGCTGGTTCCTGAATGAAACATAGTTCTCAATTTCTTCCTTCTTTAGGTGTTCCAAAAACAAGTAGTTTCATTTAGTGCAAAATAGCAGAGAATAGGAGAAATTACAAAGCTTAGGGAAGTTTCTTAATTCCTGGGTCCTGGTCCCTGGTGCATCCTCACCCCTTGGCTGAGATGTGCTCTGGATGGGTTCCTTCCCTTCTCCTCCCCAGGTGCTTTCACCTCACCTGCTTCCTGACTAGCCAGTCATTGCGAATCCTGTAAAGTAGCAGGTGCCCAGCCCGCAAGTGTGGCATTTGAAGGCGGCCTCAGGAGCATCTGGTGGTCTGTTTCTTCTTAAAAATGAAGAGCAGTCAAATAATTGGCTGTCAGGAGCCACGGGCCCCAGGACTACTGCAGTCAGGTGATCTGGGGCAGGCCGTGCATTCTTCCCTTGTTTGTTTAATGACCACCTGTAGGATCCTGTCTCGCTAAATAAGTTAGCATTTCCGGAAGAAATAAGCTGTAACCATCTGCATACGCAGGTGCACGTGCAAATGCTCATCCTTCGCTGTGCTGCACTCAGGTCTCTCCCTCCCTCCCGCACCTTATTTTGAACTTCATATTAATGGAAAGATAGAAGCTCTTCTTGTCCTTCTAATGCGTACTGCATAGGGACTCAGAGCAAGGGAACCTTACCTGGATTACACTAGTCAAAGAAATTGTTTTATAACGGCCCTGTTAAGTATATAAATAGAAATTAATGCAAAAATCCTGCAACCCCTTTCATATCAGCTAGCTCCTGCTCCAGCTATGATGGGAACTATCAAGCCAGTTACCTCAGCTGGAAATGTGCTTGATAGAAATGCTGCTTTCTGTTCCTTGCTCAGTCTGCTAGTGTATTTGAAGCAAGTTTAATCCTTCAGGTAGGTTCTGTATCCTTACTAATGACAGCTGTTGCACAAAGGGAAAGGTAAATCTTTTTACTACACATGAGCTTTTGTTGGGATCTATACTTTTTTGTGGTGTGAAAATGGATTCAGTAAATGCTGAGGTGCCTGTGTAGCTATATGGAAAAAAGTGGAATCCTGTTTTATCCAAAGTAAATTCCAGATCAAAGATTTAATGTGAAAAAGTGAAACCACACAGTACCAGAGAAAGCATGAGATAGTTTTGTTATAATCTCAAAGTAGGGAATATTTTTCTAAGTATGAAATAAAATTTAGAAGCCATAAAAGAAGGAATTGATAGATTTGACTACTAAAAATTAGAGATTTCTGCATGACCTAAAAAAAAGCATAAAGGCCAAAGATAAATGACAAACTAGGAAAAAGTATTTCTAACACACGTGACAAATAATGCACTAATATCCATAATATATAAAGACTTCCAAAAAGCCAATGAGAAAAAGATGACAGTCCTGTAGAGAAATGGTTTTAGGACATGAACAGAGCTTTCATAGGAAAGGAAATAAAATTGGACTTTCAGTGCATGAAAAAAAGTTTAATTTTTCTCATGATTAAGTACAAATCAGTGCGTTTTTTAAACTATCACATTGGCAAAACAATCAAAAAGTTTAACACTCTGAGTTCTTAAGGGTATAAGGGACAAACACTCCTGTATCTTGTTAGCAGACGGGTAGGTTAGTCAGCCTGTTGTGAGCACTTTGTCTTATCTCTGAAACTTACAGATGCACATAAGCTTTGACCCAGCAATTCCATATTTAGGAATTTATCTTACAGATATTACATATTGCACGTGTATGCAAATACATATGCCTAAGGATATTCTTAGCTGCTTTGTTCACACAGGCAAGATTGGAAACAAGCCAAATGTACAAAAGAGAACAGTTTAATTTATCGTCCACTGTGTAGTGAAATAAATACATTGCAGCCATTGAAAAGAACTAGACAGCTCTAGGGATATTTATCGATATCTATAGAATTAAGCAAAAAGTAAATATCAGTGGGAACATTAAATTAAAAAAAAAAAAAGAAACGTATCTGACGTAAACGTGCCCATGCATAGAACAGACTCCCTGGAAGGCCAGGGTGGGTGAGCGATGCTTGGTGCTGGGGAGGGCAGTGCTGCTGAGGGCTGGGCTGCACCAGCCTCCTCCTCACTCTCCTGTTTTCTCCGGGAGTTTGTACCACGTAAATTTATTACCCAGTTTTAAAAAACTCTTGATAAGAAACGTGTTATGGATGCATCACTAGAAATATGCAGAGACTTAAAACAATATTGCTTAATTCATGCGGTGCCTTACTCAGTTTCAAATACTGTCTATAATAGGAGCTTTGCATTAATCAGAAAAGTTAATAAGTATAATACTTCCAGAGGTGATTGTGTTATCATTTAAATATGATTTTGAAAAATATTTATTACAGTATAATGTCAAGTGGATACAAAATGTTTTCAGTATAATTCCACGTATGTAAATCTGTACTATAGGAAGGAAAAATGAAAGAAGATTAAAAGTGCTTGTCTCTGGAGAGGTTACAGGTTTTTTCTGTAATTTCCAAATGTGCAACATATAAGAACATGGACTGCTCTTATAGGCAGAAAACAAAATAAGGACATTTAAAATTGAAATGAAAAAAATCTCTGGTCTCAAAGTTCAGGGCCCACACACAGTAAACACTTGCTCGTCAGCCTCTCTATGCAATTCTTTCTAAGTTGGGTGTGGTTTTCTGGGGCTGCCTATGGGTCCGTCCTGCTGGGTGCTTGTGGGTGTGTCACAGCAGTGACAGCCCTGGGGCTCTGGGCCACTCGCAGGGCGGCTCCTAGGGAAGAGTTGAGACCCGGTGGCCAGGCTGTTCCTCTAGGAACAGGGCTCCTGCGTTCTGCACGGGCTTGCAGATCCGTGACCTTGAGCAGAGGGACTCATCTGCCCTTTGAACTGTCTGTGACTCCGAGGCTTTATAAAGTACATTTTCCTTTTTTCTGTGTTATAAAAGTACACATGTGCATTATTAAAAATTTAGCCAAAGTAACAATGATGAAATAATCTTATCATTCTGAAATAACCTTTGTTACTTTGATGTGCATTTATCTAGATATTTTTTGTTAGGAATATATTTTTGGTTGTATATTTATGATCATAGGATCATAGCATATACATTTGTATTGTGTACATATTGGTTTGATACCTGTTTTTCTGCCACTTCCTCCTAGGTCATAAAGTATTTTAGACACTTGGTGCCATATGACTGTGTAGTTTTATTGACCTATTAACAAACTACTGTATTATGATTGAATAGTTCTGTGTCCTTTGGTGCGTAGGATCAAGACTTCACATCCCGAAAGAGCTTTGTCCTCAACATGACTTGCAGGTTCTGCTGGCAGCTTCCAGAAACCGACTACGAGTGCTCCAGCTCCACCAGCTGCATGGCGGTGTCCTGCCCGCGGCAGCGCTACACGGCCAACTGCACCGTGCGGGACCACGTCCACTGCCTGGGTAGGTCGGCGTTAAGGAAATCTGTGAGCAAGATATTTTTCTCTAGGCTTATTTATGGAAATGTAACCAGAAACTTGAGAATTAAATTTTAATTGTTTCGTCAGAAATATTTATTAGCACTATTTTTAGTTATGCCAGTTCTATTTTAAAATGTAATATTTGATAAAACAAAAAATGTGTAACGTATAAAGCATAGTGTATAATTGAGTTTCACCCAAATTAACAACTAAAGCAGCGTGATGCCATTGAAACTACCAGAGTGTGTTTCCTGCACCCAGTTACCCTGCCTCTTCTTCAGAGGTAACCACCCTTTTGGATTTTCTTATCATCTCACTTCCTTTTCTTTGAATTTTTTGTAGTTCTACCACATGAATGTACTAGAATATAGTATGGTAAATTATTTAGTAGTGCATGTTTTAGAATTGTATAATATAGACTCTTTATGGTCTTCTGAGACCGTCTTTCAGCATCATGGCTCTAAGATTCTTCCATTTGTCTTCTCTTACTACTATTTTTTTTTTTACTTCTGTATAATAACTTGTAAGATTGTATCATAGTTTATCCTTTCTCCACTGTATTTGGATTATTTACAGGTTTTTTCCTTACAAATTGTGCTGCTGTTAAAGCTTTTGTCCATGTCTCCTGGTTGCACATGTCTCCTGGTTATACATGTCCATGTCTCCTGGTTGCACATGTTTGTCTGGCATACACTCTCTTGCATGTGTTATTTTCCAGGACAGTTGTATCCGTTTACATTCCCACCAGTGGTACACAGCTGTTCGTGATGATCCACATCCTCTCCAATACTTGCTTGTTTTTGTTTTGTTTCTTTTCTTTCTGCGGTACGCGGGCCTCTCACTGCTGTGGCCTCTCCCGTCGCGGAGCACAGGCTCTGGACACGCAGGCTCAGCGGCCATGGCTCACGGGCCCAGCCACTCTGCGGCATGTGGGATCTTCCTGGACCGGGGCACGAACCCTTGTCCCCTGCATCGGCAGGCGGACTCTCAACCACTGCGCCACCAGGGAAGCCCCACATCCTCTCCAATACTTGTTATTCCTACGTTTTTTTTTTTTCTTACAGACTTCTAGGAATTCTTTTATATTTTGGGTAGTAACCTTTTGGTGTCGGTAACATCCTGTCCCAGATTTTAACTCCCCCCCCCCACCGCCCCTTTCTTTTGGTATCTTTTGAACAGAACTTTAAATTTTTAGTTAGTTGAAGTTTTTAGTCTTTCAGAGTTAGCCCTCTTTTGTTGTAAGAAATCTTTCCATA